TATATATATATATATATATATATATATATATATATATATAAGTTGTATTTTTATTACATTATTACTAATATTATTTATTATGTAATCCCATCAATAATGACTCTCAATTTGAATTTGATATGTTCTTAACTTCATTGTTTCTAAAGGGACGTCTACATTGGAAGTAAATAGCAAGAAGTAGGAAGTAAGAGTAAGAAATTGACCAACCACAGTCGAATGTGAGAAGAATAATCAACTATGATTGGTCAATTTCTTATTCTTACTGCTTAAGGGACGTCTACATTGGAAGTAAATAGCAAGAAGTAGGAAGTAAGAGTAAGAAATTGACCAACCACAGTCGAATGTGAGAAGAATAATCAACTATGATTGGTCAATTTCTTATTCTTACTGCTTACTTCCAATGTAGACGTCCCTTAAGCCGTAAGAAATTAACCAACTACAGCCGATTAGGTGTACAATTTTGCTTCCGCCGTTTTTTTTTCCGAAATTCGAGGCTTTTTTGTAAAAAACTGGTTATACACTTATGATTCAAAGTATTGTCCATCGCTGGCCACTACTTTCTCCCATCTTTCGGGCAGCGTACAAATCCCGCGTCGAAAAAACTGGTCATCTTTTGAGGTGATCCACGAATCGATCAAATTTTTTACTTCTTTCTTTCTTTTTTACTTTTTTCTTTCTTTCGTACGGCACCCAATTTCCTTGCTTCTGAATCATTCCCATGGCTTTGAGGCGTTTTGAAATGGCTTGTTGAGTCACTCCCAATGATCGTGCCAATTTTTCTTGATTTTGAGACGAGTCTTGATCAAGTAATGCCTCAAATTCTGCATCTTCAAAAACCTTCTCTCTTCCACCGCTATGCCGGTCTTCGACGTTAAAATCACCGTTTTTGAAGCGTTGAAACCACTCACGACACGTTCTTTTACTAATAGCGGCCTCACCATAAGTATTTGAAAGCATTCGATGAGCCTCAGCCGCAGATTTCTTCATATTAAAGCAGAAAATTAAAACTTCCCGCAAATGACGAGAATTTGGCTCGTAAACTGACATTTTCAATCGAGAATAACTTTATGATGCAGACACAAGTCGACTAATGTTTCTATGGAGTTATGTTGACAGATACCCAAGTTTATTGTATGACGTTTATGATCTATTTATTTCGACCACCACTTACCGCTAAAGCCATCTATAGAAAAACGGCGGAAGCAAAGTTGTACACCTAATAATATTTTAAAAATAATCAACTATGGTTGGTCAATATCTTACGGCTTAAGGGCTATCGCACACAAATTGACATAACTGCATATGCATAGCATAAGATCGTATGGACCAATGAGCATCGAATATTAAGCATCGAACACCAATATGGCGACTTAATAGGCCTGTTCTTTGTAGCTGCACTACTGAACTAGTGCAATAAGTTAGAGTGAGAAAACGTATATTTGTTTCACTTCAATATATTGCACCAGTTCAGCAGTGCAACTACAAAGAACAGGCCTAATACTCGATGCTCATTAGTACATACGGTCTTATGCTATGCATATGCAGTTATGTCAATTTGTGTGCGATAGCCCTTAAGGCTGGGAGCACAGACTTTCGCATAACGCATAAGGAAATCAACCAATCAGAGACCTTTATTTCCCTCTCCAGGATAGAAATGAATGATTGGGCGCATTCAGTAGAAAAAGCGCTCAGTGAGCAATCAACGATTATTGGTTCTTGCTATTAGATCCCTAAATCTAGACCAATTACATTGACAAATTACTCAACTGTTGTGCAACTGTTGAGTCTGCTGAATGCAGCCATTATATCAAGTGACTTTAGCGTCTAGCTCTGGCCATTGAAATTAGGCTGGTGGCCATTCTCATGCTTCAGAGTAAGATTCGTTTAACACTGTAAATACAAAATGACAAATAGATCAATTGTATTGCTTTATCTAACACTTCGAAGCATTTGTAATTATTGAATCGCTCTGCTTTTAGTTTATAACTCAAATATTCGCCCAATTTAGTTACGCATATAACCAGCCAATCCCGTTGGAGTAAGAAGCCGACATCAGTAAACTTCAATCTCAAATAATATAACGCGAAACTTATCACGTGACTCACCTGATACCGGATTCATGTTTGACCGATTGGTACCTTTTGTCAACATACAGAATGGCGTTGAATCTAGCCGCTTTTTCGTACATCGTAGCATTAATCGGCGATGCGTTTCTCATATTTTTTGCAATTTTTCACGTACGTGTCGCGTGACGCACTAAAAAGCAATGGTGACTCTCAACCGGCTTTGTATCCTCGTATAACCTTGTATTAACGAGTGATATAAACACATCGTTCTCATTATGTTAATGTGCAATTATTACAAACGTATTCTTTTTAACTGAACTGGTGCTGCACAAGACCTTCGTTCTCTTTCGCTCTAATGTTAGATTATATACTTGTTTCAAGTGATTATATACTTTGTTTTTTGTTTTAAAGAAAAAAAAGCAACCTAATATAGCCAAGAAGAACAGATCTTATAATATATCTTATTATGTATCTTATTTTGTACTTACATATCAAAATTTCCAGGTTATTACATTTGACGAGTTAAAAACTGGGTATAAAAATCCAATCGATCAATGCAATAATCTAAATCCGGTAAGTGTGTATGTGCGCGCTACATTCTGATACAAGTTACTATCCATGACTTGCATTTCCCATTTCACTTTTCTTTTCAGCTAGTTCTGCCAGAATATATATTACACATCTTGATGAACAGTTTGTTTTTATTCAGTGAACAGTATTTCACACTGTTTATCAACATTCCACTAATAGCCTATCATGTGTGGCGATATATCAACAGGCCTGTGATGACAGAGCCAGGCTTATACGATCCTACAAGCATAATGAACGCTTACGACTTGTCCTTGTACCAAAGGGAAGGATGGGTTAAGTTAGCGTTTTACCTCATTACATTTTTCTATTATTTATATGGGTGAGCTTTCTTTTTTTTTGTAGGTAGAGAACTTTATAAGTCTCTAACTGTTGATGTGATTTATATTTCAGTATGATTAGCTCGCTTATGAAATAAGATTGCAGTGGCTATTATATCAATGAGGACTTCCCATTTCCTCCATGCAACCATGTTGTGGCTGTTCACATAAAACATACCAGAAGTACAAGCTGTAACTTAATGAACTCAGTATAATAGAAATTTCGTAATACCAAAAGGAACAGAAAAAGGACTCCTTACTTATGCATAGGTTAATCTTTATAGATTGTACATGCAAACTGAGTATTTTTTTGGAGCGCATATATCATTTTGTTTACAACAAAGTATAATATATAAGAATATGAGAATAAAGTTTGAATATTTTCCAAGTAACTTAATATTAATCTGTGCTCTTATTGAGTACATGCCAAGCAGGTATATCTGAATAAATAAAAGGTTTTTTGATTTTTATTGATACTTTGACAGAAATGTATTAGAATATTATTTATTGATTTAAATCTAGTAAAATCACAAGAAGTGTTAGATTTAGTAATTTATCACTTTATTTGTGCAGAAAGGTTTTTTGTGTACAAAATTCAGAACATATATATATAAAGGTCAACTTTTATATATTATATAACATAATTTAAGTGTTAATAAAAGATGTGATAAATATAATTGTATACAAAAAAGCTATACATTGAACTTGTGACAGTTAAATCTATATTTACCACTTTTTTATTCTATAAATCGTTTGTATATGTAAAATCTGCATAATTTAAAATCTATAAAGAAATATTCTCTCTCTCTCTTTCTCTCTCAACTAACTAACTATATGTATATACTGCCGTTCATTAAGTTTGTATTGCTTGCACTTTTAACATTTTTATATTTAGTATATACTAATTCATTAATTACAAATAACCAGAAATGTTATAATCGCTGTTCGTGTATTGCAAGTGTAATTGCAATTCTGGCAATATTTTCTATACACGAATTTTATCTTTTTTTAAGATTAACATGTCTCAAGCTTGTCTTCTGACTTGTTAACTTGACACACTTTCAATTTTTTAAATACTAGCTTTGTTGTTTACACTCTTCGCATTTTTCATTTAAAATAAGACGAATACATATTTGAACGCTGGTAGAAACAAGAACTATAGGTTCTGTTCTGTTCAGTAGTAGCTCCGGGGTAAAAGGTTATCCCCATACGCCATTCTCCAATCCTTAAATGAGGTATGAATGAACAAGGCCCTGGCAGATTCCAAGGCAACTTCCAAAAATCACTGGTCTGAACCAGACACGTCCCACCGTGCCGGCGGCTAAATCGGAACACCAAGAACTATAGGTGCTTTCGGGGAGCTCGCTATTGGCCTGATTTACATCGTGCACTTGATACGCATACTAAATAGTAACTTTCTATTAGATAATCTTAATATCGACAATGCATATCAACAGCGACGCATTCTATCAATACAATACGTTTTATTGATGAGTAGTATACCAGATTATATCAGCTTATATACCGTTGTTTATATATATCGTCGATATTAAGATTATCTAATAGAAAGTTACTATTTAATACGTGTATCAAGTGCACGATGTAAACCAAGCCTAAGTCCCGATCCACAATGGGTACTTTCCAGTTGCGTACACTGTGTTACACAAAATCAGTTTATTGGTTGTATATTATCTTACAAGATATTTTAGATAATATGTGACCAATAAACTGATTTTGTGTACGTGTATGTCAAGTGTGTTAAGCAATTGGAAAGCACCCAATAGATGTAGTAAGCTTTAAGCTTTAAGAAATTGACCAATCACAGTCGATTATTCTCTTCAAATTTGACTGTGATTGGTCAATTTCTTACTCTTACTTCCTACTTCTTACTGTTTACTTCCAATGTAGACGTCCCTTTAAGCAGTAAGACGTAAGCAGTAAGCAAATTGACCAATCACAGTCGATTATTCTCTTCAAATTTGACTGTGATTGGTCAATTTCTTAAAGCTTAAAGCTTACTACATCTATTGGGTGCTTTCCAATTGCTTAACACACTTGACATACACGTACACAAAATCAGTTTATTGGTTGTATATTATCTTACAAGATATTTTAGATAATATGTGACCAATAAACTGATTTTGTGTACGTGTATGTCAAGTGTGTTAAGCAATTGGAAAGCACCCAATAGATGTAGTAAGCTTTAAGCTTTAAGAAATTGACCAATCACAGTCAAATTTGAAGAGAATAATCGACTGTGATTGGTCAATTTGCTTACTGCTTACGTCTTACTGCTTAAAGGGACGTCTACATTGAAAGTAAATAGCAAGAAGTAGGAAGTAAGAGTAAGAAATTGACCAACCACAGATGAATGTAAGAAGAATAATCAACTATGATTGGTCAATTTCTTATTTTTACTTCCTACTTCTTACTGCTTACTTCCAATGTAGACGTCCCTTTAGTTTTTCTGTGTCCTAAAGCCCATTCTACAATTGCGTAAGCGTAGTCGTGATCGTAAGAGTCAACCAATCTGAATGTTTTATTTACTGATTGCTTTATTCTGATTGGTTGTCGTAATCACATACAACCACTTACAACCACGTTCACGCAATTGTAGAATGGGCTTAAGGACTGTGGCACACAGAAAAACTTAAGCAGTAAGACGTAAGCAGTAAGCAAATTGACCAATCACAGTCGTTAATTCTTCTTACGGTCCAACAATCAACAACTGTGATTGGCTGATTCGCTTACTGCTTATGTCTTACTGCTTAAGTTTTTCTATGTGCCACCAGCTTAAAGGTGGCACATAGAAGAATCAATAAAGGGACGTCCCTTAAGAAGAATCAATAAAGGGATGTCTACATTGGAAGTAAACAGTAAGAAGTAGGAAGTAAGAATAAGAAATTGACCAATCATAGTTAATTATTCTTCTCACATTCGACTGTGGTTGGTCAATTTCTTACTCTTACTTCCTACTTCTTGCTATTTACTTCCAATGTAGACGTCCTTTAACTGTGATTGGTCAATTTGCTTACTGCTTACGTTTTACTGCTTAAAGCGTCTTCTACAATGGCAGTAGGAGTAGTAGTAAGAAATAAGCAGTAAGCAAATTGACCAATTCCATTCTTACGTTTCAAAAATAATCGATTGTGATTGGTCTATTTACTTACTGCTTATTTCTTACTACTACTCCTACTGCCATTGTAGAAGACGCTTAAGTTTTTCTGTGTGCCTCCAGCTTTACCTCGTGTGTGCATTAGAAAAATAAAAGGTCAACTCACGTAAAATTCAGTAGAAAGTTTTGAAATAATAATTAAAGGTCAATTATACCAACTTCTTAGTAAGTCAACTAACAGTTAAATCGTATGTCTCTTTGTTTTTTCTTTAATTTAGAGAAAAATATAACAAATTTAACTATCAGTTTACTAAGAAGTTGGAACAACCAGCCTTAAATGATTAAAAAGATCCCAATTTCAATAACCTAACCTAACTTAAACAAATTTAATTATCGTATTGCACTAATTGCAGATAAATAGTAAAAAGTTAACAGGATATTTTAATCAAAAATTCAAAGTACTAAATTTTTTACGCTACAACTACTTTCAAGATGCCAACAATTGGGATAAAACGTGATTTATTATTCCAAGCATTGGGCAGAACATATTGTAAGTATTATAACTTCTACAGTTTTTTAAAATTATGATCAAGATTTACATATTTTTAAAACATGTATCTCATTGAAATAAATATTTTCTTCTAGCGGATAATGAGTTTGAAGATCTATGTTTCCAGTTTGGCTTAGAATTGGATGAAGTGGTAAGTGTCTATTTAGTTTTGCAATATATGTTTATATTTTGTGTTAATAATTCTTTTTTTATAAATAGACAACAGAGAAACAGATGATAGCAAAAGAACAAGGTTGTGAGCAAGATATAGATCCATCAGAAGAGATTATTTACAAGATTGATATTCCTGCTAACAGATATGATCTCTTATGCTTGGAAAGTTTGAGTATTGGATTACTTATATTTTTAAACAAGTAAGTGTATAGTTTATAAATTTTAATATTTTACAGAAAGATAATTTCTTAAGCATTTTACTGACGATCTAGTGTATAAAAACTATTTTATTTATTTTCTAAACAGGATATCTTTGCCTTATTACAAGGCAATAAAACCAAAAAAAGAATTAGAAGAAATAGTAATGAGTGCAGAAGTATGTATTTATAAAAGAAATATTTTATATAAGAAGCTTGCATAACTATCTTTATAAACTTGAAATGTATCTTTTATGATATTAAGTAAACTATTATTTCATTATATTTTAGTGCTTAAAAATAAGAAGCCACATAGTTGCTGCAGTGTTGCGTGATATTACTTTAACACAAGATTCTTATAATAGCTTCATTGATCTACAAGATAAGCTTCATCAAAATATAGGAAGGAAGCGTAGTTTAGTTTCTATCGGTACTCATGATTTAGATACAATTAAGGGCCCATTTTTGTATGATGCTAAACCACCATCAGAAATATGTTTTAAACCACTAAATCAACATAAAGAATATACTGGAGAAGAAATCATGCAATTATATGCAGTAAGTGTATTTTATTATTTTTGTTTTATTAAATGTAACTTATTTTGTAAAAACTAGTTTTGTATAAAAGGACAGTCATATGTTCTTAATTTAATGTAATTATATATATATATATATATATATATATATGTGTGTGTGTGTGTGTATGTGTGTGTGTGTGTATTATTGTATATTCACATATAATTAGTATTAAGTAATTCTACATTCAATTCTATATTCAATTTTATCTATCATTTTTTTTAGACACATAACCAACTCAAACAATATTTGCCCATTATAAAAGACAGTCCTGTTTATCCAGTGGTGTATGATAGCAATGGAATTGTTTTATCTCTCCCTCCTATCATCAATGGAGATCATTCAAAAATTACACTCAACACAAAAAACATCTTTATTGAATGCACCGCTACTGATCTCACTAAGGTATTCAGAAATGCAATACAATATTTTATAAGATATTGTTTATCTAAATATTTTTATCTGCAAACTATGTTTAAAATATATCAATTTAAAAACAATAAATTAATAATTTAAAAAAATACATATATATCATAAAAATCCCTGCATATGTAGGCAAGAGTAGTGCTGGACACCATAGTCTGTGCTTTCAGTCAGTATTGCAGCACAAAACATACAGCTGAAACTGTGAAAGTAATATATCCCAATAAACAAACCTTCTATTATCCAGACTTGAAATATCGCACGGAAGAAATCGAGTGTAGTAAAGCAACCAATTATATTGGCATTAAGTAAGTTGAACTTTTTTTCACATGTTATACACAATAGTAGCCAAAAAAAAAAAAGAAAATTATTTTGATGTTTTATGATATGACATAAATAGATGTGATATTATGGTTTTTATGCAATCTATATAGACAGACACCAGAACAGGTTGCAACATTATTGTCGAGGATGTCTTTGAAATCTACTGTGAAAGATGATGATAAATTGGAAGTGCAGATACCACCCACGAGACACGATGTAATACATTGGTGTGATATTTATGAAGACATTGCCATAGCCTATGGATACAACGAGATAAAAAAAACCATACCGTACATGTCGACGATCGCTGCGGAGGTAAATATGAAATGTACAGAGTTTTGCCTCGATTATAATTTTTTATGTAACATGAATACAATTCGACATGAATACTGATACATGGTTTATCTGCTTGATTTGAACAACAGGTTCCACTCAACAAACTCACTGATCATATACGTATAGAACTAGCACAAGCTGGATTCACAGAAGCGCTAACTTTTTCTCTGGTACGTATTAAAAAGTTTATTGTTTATTAATAAATTTTTATACCTTTGATATTATGTGCACATCAATAATATTGTTGTACAGTGTTCGCGTGACGATCTGGCTGATAAGTTGGGTCATAAAATAGAAAATATACCAGCGGTACACGTATCCAACCCAAAAACATTGGAGTTCCAGGTAAGCTAATCGATGCAATCATTTTTAACTAGTATTGTTTCAATCTAAGAAATAAATTAAGGGATAACTCCACTCTAGCGTCCAAAAATTAAGCATGTTTTTGGGAATTTTTTGTGGGCAAACAAAGAAATGAATCGAAAATCCGTTTGGAAGACTTTATTATATATTATTATGTTTTAAAGAGTATATTCAAAAATTGTTATGTTAACATATATTACAAAATGGCAACGCTAGAGCCTTGTCAACATGAGCGTGTTTTTCTCCAGAGCTAGCAGCATAAGTGTTGCAAATGTTGATCTAGAACAAAAACCAAAAATTTTCGTCATCTATATGTTAATAGCTACAAAAGTACGTACGGGATTTTTGATATATTGAAAATTACGTATTTTATAAACAATTTTCGACGAAATTTTTAGGGTAGAAAATGAAACTTTTTCTTTAAATGGGTGCTATTTCTATAAAAAAAAATATTTTAAAAATTCTATAAAATAAATATTTTAAAAATTCTTTACGTATTTCGTAAATGACTTGTAGATGACGGAAAATTTTGGTTTTTTGTTCTAAATCAACATTTGCGGCACTTATGTTGCTAGCCCCTAGAAATACAAGCACATGTTGATAAGGTTCTAGCGTCGCCATTTTGTAGTATATGTTAACATAAAAATTTAAATATACACTTTAAAACATGTATAATAAACTTTCAACGGATTTTCGATTCATTTCTTTGTTTGCCCACAAAAAACTCCCAAAAATACGCTTAATTTTTGGATGCTAGAGTGGTGTTACCCCTTAACAAACATACTCAATAGTTGTCAAATATACATGTACATTTCAATAAGTGTGCATCTTTATCTTGTAGGTTGTACGTACTTCTCTTTTACCGGGATTACTTAAAACGATAGCCTCGAATAAGAAAATGCCCCTGCCTCATAAACTGTTTGAAGTTTCCGACGTGGTGCTGCGAGATGACACAACGGAAGTTGGCGCGTATAACACTCGTCGTTTATGCGCAGTATACGCTAACAAATCAGCCGGTTTTGAAATAATTCATGGGTTAGTCGATAGAGTGTTAACATTACTAGAAATACCATGGAGTGCTAATAAAGATGAAAATGGATATTATCTGCGCGCAGCTAATGGTAAGATACATTATTTTTTTAAAACTTGAATGGCTTATGAAATGAACGCAAAGAGATACAATTTACAAACGGGAAAGATATATTATTGATTTTACAGATCCAACATACTTTCCTCAACGATGTGCAGAAATTATTTGTTGTGGTGAAGTAATAGGAAAACTGGGTGTTTTACATCCCGATGTGCTTTCGAAGTTTGAACTAAATATTCCATGTTCTTCAATGGAAATAAATATTGAAAAATTTCTTTAGTCGAAATGGAAATACTATGCAAATAATCATTATATTGAGATAAAAATTTAAATAATTTTGCACAAATTATATTTATTTTATATTTAGAGAAAACAATGACAAATATATAATATGTATCATCTAAAATAATGATTCTATCCATTTGCATTATATATATACACGCGCGCGCATACACACACACACACACACACAACTTACCAGTTAAAAGAACACTTGGCACCTTCAAAAAATAAGTAAGATTTAACCAAGTGTAACTTTGTTTAAAAAATTATCTAAATCTAGAAAAAAGTTTAAAATATCTATTTTCAAGCAACATTTTTATGTTCTTTTAATTTTGGTAATTTTTATATAGAAAAAATACAATGGCTATTGCATTGGTAATATAAACGCAATATCGTGCAATTATTGAAACATAATACTGGCCGTACATTGGCCTTTATATGTAATATTCATGTTATATTAGGAAATATTGGCCAATGCACTTTCAATGTAAATGCAATATTGCGTATTTATTGACATGTAATATTAGCAATAGATTAACATTTATTCTGAGTTCAACATTCACATTTTATATTGGGAAACCGTTCCGCTTTTCCGCGCAAATTGTGCTCCATGGGTGTGTTCCTAAAACTAGGCGCCTCTAAGACAAAGTAAAAATTGCATGTATCTACTGAAGAATTAATAATGTTGATAAATAGGCATGTTCTATTATTTCCAGATTCTTATACTGACCTTTAATTCTTAAACCGATTGTTTACTAACATCGAATATTATTATCTCGATAAGAAATATATATATTAGTTCACTTAGTCTGTAACTGACAGTTTTCAAATTATACATTCTTATATAATATTGTTTTGCTAAGCAAATTGATGTAAGTATTTGGTCATATATAATATAACAATAATTATTCATTTTAAATAACTGTAGTGCATAGAAAAAAGGAGAAATTGTTAGAACAAGAAACAGTGACCAAAATGTACACTGAAAAGTACCCATATTGAATATATTTGCATATAAATTTTATCGATCTTATTATATATATCATGAAATATGTTTCATTTCTTACAATCGAATTCAGATTTCAAAATAAAATAGATTAATATAAATTTATTTTGTTTGTATATATAATATTAAAAAAACAATTTCTGCATTATTATATGTATTACATGAACAAAGCGAATGTACTCACCTAAAACTGTTATAAACCATACTTATAAACCATAATTATTTATAAAGTAAAGAAGTTAAATTGTAATTGGTTTTTTAGATTCATGAAATCCGTATACATCATAGCTTTTCCCTTTAAAAGAGATTTATTTAACAAAGAATACTAATAAAAGGAAACAATATGGGTGAAAAATGTTTAGACATCACCAACAAATCTGACTCCAAATTATTAGACTACAACAGATTATTTGAATGCATCTTTGTAGGAAATATGAAGCTCATGTGTGAACTTATCTATAGTGGTGCTAATGTCAATACCCAAGATCATAACGGTAAAGTAATATGCCAAGTATTTGCCTAAATTAACATTGTATCTATTAACTTCTTATAATATTTTCGATATAATCATTTTTAATCGTATATCTCCATATACGTTTAAGGCTCCTGGCTCCTCGCATTGTTTATCTCTTTTTTTTTTTAATGACGTCGGAAGCGAGAAAACGCATGCTAAAAATTTTTGCAAAATATGTTGAAATAAAAATATATATCCATAAAGTAACACAATCAATTAAACAAATTTATAAGATATTCCGTGCACTCCCCTTTTGTTCTAACAATCAAATTACAATAATTTATTGTAAATTTATCTGAATGCGAAGAAATAGATTAAGAAGATGAAGTGTATGTCATGTTAATTTACGACAAATTATTTATTATTTAAGCAAAAGAGGAATACAAGGAATATTTCACAGATTTATTTAATCGATTGCACGTGTCACTTTATAGATATATTTTTTTATTTCAACGTATTTCGCAAGAATTTTTAGCATGCATTTTCTCACTTCTGACCTCATTAAAAAGAGATAGACAATGCGAGGAACCAGGAGCCTTAAACTTACGTATTATTACGTCGGCAAAAAACGAAATTATTATTAAATATTTTTATTTAATTGTAGGAAATACACTTCTCATGTACGGATGTAGATTTGGATATATCGATATTGTATATGCTTTATTGTGTCTAGGAGCTAATACTGAATTTACGAATAATCGAGGCGATACATCCTTAATGGTAACAGTTAAATCAAGACATCATCCAATTGTCCAGGTCTTATTGGAACACGGTTCATCTGTCAATGCTTATAATAATAAAACCAAGCAATCTGCATTAACATATGCATGCTTCATAGGAAATATTAAGATAGTTCAATTATTATTGGAATTCAACGCAGATGTGGTACAACTATTTTTCTAAAATCTTTCCAAAAGACAATGTGTGCTACTTAAAGTTGTTTGTAGTTTTTTAAATCATATATTAATTTGTAATTTGTAATATAGACAAGTATGGTTGCGAATGAAAGAGAAAAAAGGTGGCAAATATTTTATTTGGTACTTCTATAAATTATTTCACTATCTATATATATATATATATATATATATATATATATATATATATATATATATATATATATATATACACACACACACACACACGCCGCACGCACGCACGCGCCGCGTACGCACACACATATATATATATATGGTGTTAGCTAAGTATGTTACCATACTTAACAGAGCGATTCTTTGGTTTATTTCAAGTAAAAAAGTTCACATAAACATGTGCCTTAAACGGCTTAGTTTCCGAAATAAAAAATTTAAACGTGTAGTAATAATCTGTTTCGTTTAGAACAGCTTCCTCTAGTACTGGTGTTCTAACTGTCATAGGCTTTCCAAGATCAACAGTGTTCCTTACAAAAGAACCCTTTTCTCGAAGATAGTGGTGAATATTCGCGAATGTTTTACGACATAATAAATTGCGTTGGGGATATCTTTCTACATAAATACACTTTGTCTCACGTAAGTTAACCATATGCAAAATGCATATCTACCACCCCACAAAACGTACGTCGAATCCACGTAGAGTTCACGTGGAATCCACGTGGAAATCACGTGGAAATCACGTGGATTCCACGTGGGTGTAACGTGCATGTTTTTGTGGGGCATTTCAAAATTTGTAAACTTATACATGATAAAACCGATTTTAATAGACTGAAACAATTTGGCCCGAAAACGTACGCACAAGCTAACCGACCCGCAGTAACATCGGAACTGAAATCTATTTTTGATTTTATGACTTTGACTTTGTCACTTTGTTTACGGTCGTGCGAATGGTAACTCACGTGAAGCAAGGCATATTTATGCAGGAAGATATCTCAACGCAATTTACCGTTTCGTCAAACATTTGCGAACATTCACCTGTATTTCGGAAACTAAGCCGTTTAGGACACATGTTTATATGAACTTTTTTACTTGAAACTAAGCCGTTTAGGACACATGTTTATATGAACTTTTTTACTTGAAACTAAGCCGTTTAGGACACATGTTTATATGAACTTTTTTACTTGAAACTAAGCCGTTTAGGACACATGTTTATATGAACTTTTTTACTTGAAACTAAGCCGTTTAGGACACATGTTTATATGAACTTTTTTACTTGAAACTAAGCCGTTTAGGACACATGTTTATATGAACTTTTTTACTTGAAACTAAGCCGTTTAGGACACATGTTTATATGAACTTTTTTACTTGAAACTAAGCCGTTTAGGACACATGTTTATATGAACTTTTTTACTTGAAACTAAGCCGTTTAGGACACATGTTTATATGAACTTTTTTACTTGAAACTAAGCCGTTTAGGACACATGTTTATATGAACTTTTTTACTTGAAACTAAGCCGTTTAGGACACATGTTTATATGAACTTTTTTACTTGAAATAAATCGAAGAATCGCTCTGTTGAGTATGGCAACATACTTAACCAACACTCTGTGTGTGTATTTATTTATTTATTTATTTATTTATTTATTTATATTTATATTACAGGAACATAAAACCGATCAAAAGTGGACACCACTTATGATAGCATCGATGCGTGGTTATATACAAATAGCTAATATGCTGTTAAATTCAGGTGCCGCATTATATATGCCAAATGATGCAAACCAATCTCCGTTGACATTAGCAGTTAGCAATGGTCATGAGGTACTTACGAATCTTCTGATCGATCGAGGAGCATACATAGATGAAGTTAACTCTGTGGGTTACACGCCATTAATGGAAGCAGTGTGTAGAGGACACTTGAAAATAATTCAGTTACTTTTAAAAAACGGTATGTAATATAGCTTGAATTATTCGACAAACCAACAAGTTTATTATTCATAAATTTTTAAAAGCAGGCGCAGACGTCAATATCCGATCTAATACAACGGGGGTAACAGCACTTTCGTTGGCTTGCTACAAGGGTTTCTATGAAGCTGTGGCTGATTTAATTTTAGCAGGCGCTGACATCCAATTGTCTAATCCTTTAATTGATGCTGCCCGCAATGGACATGTAAATATTGTTCAACATTTACTACATTGTGCTGCGGAGGTTCAGGCTAAAACGGGTAGAGGAGATACTGCATTAATATTTGCTTGTGAAAATGGTCATATTGACGTTGCTGAACTTTTGCTTGACTTTGGGGCTACACTGGTATATTATATATATTTTTTTTTTCTTATGATTATACAATCTTTTAATACCATCAAGTTCTGTATAAAATTGACATCACTCTGCACTTTGATCAAATTTTGTTTTCATCAGTTTATGAGTTATTTATTTTAGTTTATTGTATGTCTACATTACAGAATTATAAGACAAAAGAAGGTGTAACTCCACTAAGGATGGCTTGCCGTAATGGTCATTTAGAGATGGTTAAATACCTTATTTCAAAAGGCGCAGATGTTAATTATCCAAGAAGGTGAATCCATATACTAGAAATAAAATTTTATTGCAGATTTTTACATTTGATTTTATTGAAGATTATAGAAAAATTACATTTATAGAATAATATATATTATAGAATAATCAGAATATAATGCTACATGCAATAAAAGCTGGCCACTGTAAAATCATAGGGATAATGTTAGAATATATATGCAGTACTAGACAATTATGAACACATGAAAGTATAATAGTGCATCTGTATGCAACTTATTACTGCAACAACAAAGTGGTATCTGTTATTACAAGGTTTATTTTTAATCCAAAGCACAGACACACACTCACATATTTCTTATAATATTATTTCGGAAAGATCTATAAAGAAAATGTACTACATTATTAATTCTGAGTATATAACTACCCAGTAAGCAAATTGAGCGCAGACTGCACGTAGATTGGCAGCAAATTTTATAAAAAAACCATAGCCATCTGTGTCTACATTAGGCTACGGTTTTGGCAACAGATCTTGCTGTCAGACAATTGGTGCCAAATTTATAGCAAAAACCGCGCAAAGTCTGCGCGGTTTCTGCCGCCAATCTGCCGTCAAATGCTACATGCAATAAAAGCTGGCCACTGTAAAATCATAGGGATAATGTTAGAATATATATGCAGTACTAGACAATTATGAACACACAAAAGTATAATAGTGCATCTGTATGTAACTTATTATTACTGCAACAACAAAGTGGTATCTGTTGTTACAAGATTTATTTTTAATCCAAAGCACACCCACACACACATATGGACACACACTCACATATTTCTTATAATATTATTTCGGAAAGATCTATAAAGAAAATGTACTACATTATTAATTCTGAGTATATAACTACTCAGTAAGCAAATTGAGCGCAGACTGCGCGTAGATTGGCAGCAAATTTGATAAAAAAACCATAGCCATCTGTGTTTACATTAGGCAACGGTTTTGGCGACAGATCTTGCTGTCGGACAATTGGTGCCAAATTTGCAGCAAGATCTGCGCGGTTTCTGCCGCCAATCTGCCGTCAAATCGCTACCAGCTCTGCGCGGTTTTTGCTGCAAATCTGCAACAATTATCCGATAACAAGCTCTGCGGCATATCTGGCGGCAATTTGGCGGCAAGATTTGATATAACAGATCCTGCATCAAATTTGTTATTTACCATCAAAAATTAATAGCAAACTCTGCTCGAAATCTGTTCGCGCAGGTTTGGCTATCTGGCTATATAGATCAGGATGAAGTGATAACAAACCTAAAATCTTGACATTTAATTAAGTTAATGACAATATAGATCTTTCTAAATTAGAATTTTCCTCTATATAAGGAAAACATGCAGTATGATTTGCTAACATATGTGTTTTAAAGTTTTATTTAATTATATTTTAAAGTTTTGTATCTTTAAGTCATGAATATTATAAAATTATTTTTTTATTAAAATTATTTGTATTATTAAAATTAATTTTTATCATTCAAGAGAGAAAGGGAACAAATCATATTTTTTATACTCGATATCGCGGATGCCTTACCATTCACTGAGGCCAGTATTTACAGTTCTTATATTTAGGATTACACATCTTATATTTAGGATTGTCATTATCGGGTGCTGTACGATTAACTCTTAAGAGGATAACCCAGTTTGGAGCGCCATAAAATCACTGATATTTGCGAAATTTTTTTAAAGAAACGTTTATAGTTATCAATTTCGGGTTTTGACCTATATTTTATTTATAATTTCTAGAATATGTGAAAATTAAAAAAAAACCAAAAATATTAAAAAATGGTTGAAATACAGCAATGACGGCAGACACGTCCAGGTCGGTTCTTGGAAAATTGCTGACACTGTACAGCTCAAAGTAATCGTCTGAAATAAAAAAACCAAATTGTTTGTAATTAATAATGTTGAATGCATATTGTAAACTTAACGAAATTTTAAAAAATCGCGATTTGTTAAAATTACATCTTCATAAAAGAAATTTATTTTTGGACCATTATTTTTCCGATTAATCTGCCAAAAAAAATATTTTTTTAAAAATTTATTACTTTTTTAGGTTTACCGTACGAAGAAAATAGTCATAATTAACGTATCAAAAGTGCAAGTCAATGCATTGAGCCGTTTTTTCTCTACACTGTCAGCAAATTTGAAGAAACACGTTTCGAGAAAAACGCGTTTAAAGTTTTCAAAAGAAAAGTTTGGATGTTACTAGAAAACCTCTAGTACAGAGAATCGCCAACTTGGTCACGTGACCAACTGATTGGCTGGCATAAATATATACGGATTTAGACATCGCGACGCCAATACAAATGCTTATATATATATGATTTTGCATCGGCGTCGCAATGTCCAAATCCGTACATGTTATGCCAGCCAATCGCAGAGTAACTGAGTAGCTGGTCCCATGACCAAGTTGGCGATTCTCTGTACTAGAGGTTCTCTAGGTGTTACAAATATTCGCAGAAAGAAAGATCCATTACCCTAAAGCCCTATGCACAATACCAGGTAACAGGCAATAGGAATAGACATTAGCCAATAGGAACAGGGAATAGAAATAATTAATCTGATTTCCTATTCCCTGTTCCTATTGCCTGTTGCCTGGCATTGTGCATAGAGCGTAATAGCGTCAAGTTTCTATAACTCACAGACTTCTATAACTACTAGACTGCTTACTTCGACTCAGTACATGGCCCTGAAAAGTATGTACAGAAATCTCGCGCATGCACCTATTTGATGTTTCGACATTCACAATGTAGCATCTCGTTTTAAGCATTATTGCACTTTGATATAGGTATACAATTGATCAATCACTTATTTTTATAAATTGTTTACTGTAACGTATTTCACTCTGACGTTTTTCACTCTGTACGTACACAAATATTTAAGCAGGCGGCATCGGTCATATTACATCTCCTCTTCTTCTGGAACATCAGTTTCAGGCATGCGCAGATGCCTTTTTCCGTACGTAATACATTGTTCGAAGTCAATTTTATATAGCATTATGGCTGCGTTCGTTTTGGCGCTTATAACGCTCTAAGCATCATTTCATCCTTGTTTCTATCAAATACTAAACAAGGACAAATGATGTTTACACGTGCTATAAGCGCCAAAACGAACGCAGCCTATATAAGGGAGTTAGCAGTCTAGTAGTTATATAGAAGTATGTGGTCAAGACGCTGAAATCTGAACGGTTTAGATTTCTGCGCAAAGGTGCTGTGCACGGTTTGACGCCCGACGCTCGACGCTTCCATATAATGAGTGTTTTCCAATTGCTTAACACATCCTGACACACACGTACACAAAACCAGTTTATTGGTCACATATTATCTAAAATATCTTGTAAGATAATATGCAACCAATAAACTGGTTTTGTGTAACACAGTTTACGCAACTGGAAAGCACCCAATGGCACCTTTATAGCAAATTCGGTGCACTGAGTGCGCACTAAGACTGCGTTCCAAAATTCACTGCCAGTACTGAAAATCTATAGTTCATGTTACTTATACTATAGAATTTCAGTACTTTCAGTGAATTTCGGAACGTAGCTTAAAGCTTGTTCATAGTATGTTATCATATTTAAATATTGTCTTAAATAAATTCTTAAATATTTTTAACCATAATATAATAATATGTACAACATCCGTACGAATAATTGTATTAACTAAAATATTTTTAAATATGTTTAATTATATGTTATATATTTAAGACACGATCTTAAATATAAGAATGTATTGTAAACAAGCCTTAACGCGCACTCAGTGCACACTAGTGCAAGCTACCGAATTCGCTATTATGGCTTTTGCACATATGATGCGGCAATGCTTGTCGCGCGGCGAAAGTCCGCGCTACAGCCAATCAATATGTTATTTTTCCGTAAGAGCTAGAAGGTTATTACGGAAAGCAGCATATTGATTGGCTGTCACGTGAACTTCCGCCGCGCGGCAAGCATTACCGCGTCCTGTGTGCAGGAGCCATTAGGCTGCGTTCGGAAATACCATAGACATATATAATATATCCTAGACTGCTATTTAGCCACCATTAGTGTATCCACATATAATGTACAACTTATACATAGTACCCCGAGGAGCGTTTCACTTAACGCCGCAATTGATACGAGCATTAAGTAGAGCGCTTCCTGTGTCGCTACTTGCAGCTATAAAATGACAGTTTGTAAAAGTATATACATTTACACGTAATTATAGTTGCTAAACACACAGAGAAAGTATCATATATAAAATCTAATTTTGTAATTGAAATACTAATATTAAATATAAAAGTAAAGTATCTTAAATTTATCTTTAGATCTATGGATCATTCTATTGACCACAAAGTATTTAAAGATGAATTTAAGGAGGCCTTAAATATAAGGACTGACTATGAATATGGGTATAAGTCAATGGCCTGGTTTACATAGTGCACTTGATACTACGTACTAAATAGTAGGTGCTTTCTAGTTGCGTACTGTGTTACACAAAACCAGTTTATTGGTTGTATATTATCTTATAAGATATTTTAGATAATATGTGACCAATAAACTGGTTTTGCGTGTGTATCAAGATGTGTTAAACAATTGGAAAGCACCCAGTAACTTTCTATTAGATCATCTAATAGCATGTTCGACTGGCTCTAGGTTAACCCACTCTGGGTTATTCAGCCTACGTTTATTGATCAAACAAGTACTTATAAACTTTATGATTGGCTAGTAGAGACTTATGACGTCATTAATTGCTCTCGGAGCGATTAACCCAGGGTCAGTCGAACATTAATATCGCTATTAATATCGATAGGGCCAGTTGCTATTAATATCGACGATATATAAGGTGTAGTAAAAAGAAATCCATTTTTTGAATAGATGGCTTTAGTAATGTGTATCTCGCGTTGTATAAGTACGATCGGTTTACGCTAGATGGCGTTAGAAAGATAAAACCCATTCTACAATTGCGTAAGCGTAGTCGTGAACGTAAGAGTCAACCAATCCGAATGTTTTATTCACTGATTACTTTACTCTGATTGGTTGTCGTAATCACTTACAACTTCTTACAACCACGTTTACGCAATTGTAGAATAGGCTTAAGATTTCGTACTAAAAAAACTTCTCAGACAGTTTTGTGATTGTTTAACTCAGTATTGTTTGAGCGTGCGTTAAAGATGGACACCAGCAAAGAAAAAATACGCCATATTTTACAGTTTTTCTTCGATAAAGGCGAAAACGCAAGCCAAGCGGCTGAAAATGTGAATAGTGTTTATGGTCCTGATACTATAACAGCCAATCACGCGAAATTTTGGTTTCGTCGATTCCGTTCCGGTAATTTTGATGTCAAAGATGCACCACGTTCTGGAAGGCCAATTGTCGAAAATGTCGATAAAATAATGGAAATCGTCGAGTCCGACCGTCATGTAAGCACTGTTTCGATTGCCCAGGAGCTAAACATTGCACAAAAAACCGTTTGGAACCACATGTATAAGGCTGGATACAAAAAGAAGTTCGATGTATGGGTGCCACACGAGTTAACGTAAAAAAACCTCATGGACCGAATTTCCATCTGCGAATCGCTGCTGAATCGCAACAAAATCGATCCATTTCTGCAGCGGATGGTGACTGGTGATGAAAAGGTCACTTACGACAACGTCAAGCGAAAACGGTCGTGGTCGAAACGCGGTGAGCCAGTGCAAACGGTGGCTAATAGCGAATTCGGTTGCTTGCACTAGTGTGCACTGAGTGCGCACTAAGGCTTGTTCATAGTATGTTATTATATTTAAAGATTGTCTTAAATAATTCTCAAATAAATTCTCAAATATTTTTAACCATAATATGATATGTATAACATCCGTACGAATCATTTTATTAGTTAAAATGTTTTTAAATATGTATTTAAGACACGATCTTAAATATAAGAATGTACTGTAAACAAGCCTTAATGCGCACTAGTGCAAGCTACCGAATTCGCTGTAAGCCAGGATTGACGGTCAGGAAGGCTTTGCTGTGTGTTTGGTGGGATTGGTAGGGAATCATCCACTATGAGCTGCTCTCCTACGGCCAAACTCTTAACTCGGACCTGTACTGTCAACAATTGGACCGTCTGAAGGAATCAATCGCCCAGAAACGACCAACTTTGGCCAATAGGAGAGGAATTGTGTTCCATCAGGACAACACCTGGCCACACACATCGATAGTTACTCGCCAGAAGCTCCGGGAGCTTGGTTGAGAGGTTCTTATGCATCCACCTTATAGTCCGGACCTGGCACCAAGTGATTACCACTTGTTCCTGTCTATGGCGAATGATTTTGCTGGTGAAAAATTCGCCTCAAGAGAAACTTGTGAAGATCGACTGTCCCAGTTTTTTGCCAATAGGGACAAGAGTTTCTATGAGAGAGGCATAATGGAATTACCTTCAAAATGGCAACAAGTTATCGAACAAAACGGTGCATATTTGACCTAAATCGGATCATTCTAACTATGCTAAATAAAACCTTCAATTTAATGCAAAAATAATGGATTTCTTTTTACTACACCTTATATATAAACAACAGTATATTAAGTTGGTATAATACTCATCAACAAAACGTATTGATTGAATGCGTCGCCGTTGATATTATGATGCATTATCGATATTAAGATTATCTAATAGAAAATTACTATTTAGTATGCGTATCAAGTGCATGATATAAACCAAGTCAATGACGTATATACATAGGCCGGTATTCATAGTCCGATCTTATATTTAAGATCATCTTAAGTATTGTCTTAAGATGTCATGAATCAATCATAGAGTCGTATTCGCATCTTAAGACATTACTTAAGACGGTCTTGAAATAAAATTCGACTATGAATACCGGTCATAGACCAAGCATTCCTATACTTCTGCTGTAACAGCGAGTGAAGCCGGAAGTTGGCAGTTTAAAACAGAGTGAAATAGACCAATCAGAGTCCTTCATTTTCATCATGGCAATAAAAATGAGAACTCTGATTAGTCAATTTTCTTGCGTTGTGCATTATGCCTTTATGCAAGAGTGTATGCTCCCACTTTACACCATGGGTTATAGTCCCCGGCTATACTTAAAGAAGTAGTAGGGGAGTAAGTGTGTCGTGTAATTAATTTGAAATATAAAGATAAATGAATTGTTATAATTAACAATGTGGAATAAACAGAATAACAAAGACAAGAATCTTCTTGAAACGAGTATTAAGACATGTACCAATTTTTTTTCTGATAACTTCAAGGATACTGATGTTCAGATATATGCGAACGACTTCACATATTTAGAAAACTTGGACGAGGACAAAATTGATGATCTCAAGATAGACAATGACGTAAGTGAGATTCATTAATTTGATGTGAAATTAATGGTAGGCAAAAAATATTAGTGTTTAGAAAACCCGAGATTTCAAGAACACACACATATTTGTGTTTTCCTAATATAAACATACTTTAGTAAATATTTGGAATACAAATTTTTTCGCAGACTTCTAAAAGCTAAGGGCTGCATTCGGAGAGATGCTATTTAACACTATGAGTGTGCTCTGTCTTTATTGCTTACTGAAAATTGAACAAGGACAGAGCGCATCTAAAACTCTAAATAGCGTCTCCTCGAACATAGCTAAAATAGTCTTTTGATATTGTAATAAGAATAATTCCCAGACAGCACATGATATTCTATGGATATCCTATAAATGTCCTTAAAACATTGACATTCTCGACATATTTAGGATATTCTTGGAAGATTTGTTTCTCAGAAATAACATTTTATAAGTTAAGAAGCTTTTTACACATTTTATATCATAAGTTTCACTTAGCTTGAAATTTAATATTATGCAATTAATCAATACTTGTTGATATTGCTCTAGTTTTTCTATTACTTAAAACATTAAAGAAATTGTGTATATGTAACTAGTGATACACGCACATACAGAGTATGATCTTTCTCTCACCCACTAAGTATATAGTGTTATTTCTCATGAAAATTTTAGTTGAAAAGTATCGAGTGAAAATTTCAGTCGAAAAGTATTGAGTGAAAATTTTAGTCGAAAAATATCAAGTGAAAATTTCTAGATATCAATAGTTTACGAAATACATACGATCAATATAAGACTTTTCGCAAACTGTACTTCGGATACCAAGTGGATAACAAATCTATTTTCTTCAATTAATCTCAAATGGATTTTATTTGAGTAGATTTTTAATGTAGGGCTTAGTTACAAAGATATGTTAAATGTTGAAAAGTTACTATAAATAAGACTTTGTTTCAACAAAATGGCTTAAAACTTATCAATTCAGTTTTCCATAAAGAATAACGCCATGTACTTAGTGAGCAGGAAAAAGATAATACCCTTTATACATATTGGGTGCTTTCCATTTAATAATACAAGTTGATACAAGCATCATTCTGTCTGTGTTCCATATTCAATGAGTAACTAAGATAGGATAATGCTCATGTCAACTTGTGTTATTAAATGGAAAGCACCCATTGTGTATCTGTTTCACTTATGTATACTTTATTTGACATTTGTAGGTTGAAAACCAATTACATCAGTCTATATCATTTTACTACCCTAAAAAGTTAGAGTACTGTATTAAATATTTTGGTATCCAGCACTTTATTAATTATAAGCGGCATATATTACATCCCATTGGGTCGATACTTTCAATTTGTGAAGTACAAGAGCAATGTAAAATAAAAAATATTAACAATTTAACCAAAGAGGACGCATTAATAAACACAATGCGTCTACCATTTTCTTATTTAAATTTATTTAATGAACATCAGCTTTCTAAATTATTTTCCTTGGCTTGCACAGCAGGTTACTATGAACTTGCCCAGGTTTGAATCAAATAATTATATTTTCTTTCTATATATTTACACATGTATATATTCTATTTTATGTGCTTTATATAAAAATATATTTTCTTTATTATTATATGTATAATCCAAATTTATCCTCATTATTATATTACAGAAAATAAATCTGATTTAATTTTTAGACAGCTGTTATAATAGTATTTTTTTTTATTTCTGCTCATTTTGCTATTATGATTATTACATGTCACATGATTGATATGTTTTATGTATATGATTATAAAATATAACAGCCAATATTTTAATTTGCCTTAGGAAAACTTATCTTTACATAAAATTAGATATTAAATTAAGTAAATTAAAAAGAAATTGCATAAGTTTTTCTTCAAGGCATTAATATTTCATTTTTTCTCATTCATTTGACTACTTATCAATGGCATATAAAATTGACTTATGCAATGATACAATAATAAAGATAAGATTAATTTAAATTTAGTAGTGTAATAAAATTCACTATTCTTTTACCATGTATTTTTATATGAAATAGGAATTCATCGACATGAACATTGCTGTAGATATTCCTAACTTGAATGAGAATTGTACCCCATTGATGGAAGCTGCCAAAGGAGGACATGTCGATATCGTGCGCTTACTTCTCTCTTACAATGCCAATGTCAATGCTCACTCCACTACAAGTAAAATTATATGCTAGTTAATCATACATTTTGTATCTAATGATCTCCACTTAAGGCTCCTTGTTACTTATCGCGGCCATCTTGATATATGATGTCAAAAGTAAGGAAATACATGTTAAAAATTCAAGGTACATTGAAATGAAAAAATATATTAAAAAAATGACACTTCCATTCGGTTTAAACTTCTAAAGTATTCCAAATATTTCCCTTTAATTCTAACAATCAATAAATAACCATAAAATTAACGTGACATGCAACTTTTCTTTTTAACCTACATTTCTTAATTATTGTCACGTTAATTTTACGGTTATTTGTTGATTGCTAGAGTAAAAGGAAAGTGTTTGGAGTATTGTAGTGATGTTATCAACCGATTGCAAACGTCACTTGTTGGATATATCTTTTTTTTATTTTGATGAACCTAACCTAGGAGTTTTTGGGGATACATTTCCTTGTTTCTGACGTCATAAATCAAGATGATCGCGGCAAGTAACCAGGAGCCTTAATATAATACATTTAATTTCTCATCTTATGAATATTTTCAATGTGTCCATTTTTTTTTGAGATTACATGACACTACGTCAATCAGATTGTTAAAATATATGTGTGTAATTGTAGAAAATTCTTCTCTCATATACGCATGTGCTGGCGGACATAAGGAAGTTGTACGTGCCTTATTGGAAGCAGGAGCCAATGTTGAACATCACAATGAGGATGGTTGTACACCTTTGAAGGCAGCAGCAAAAATTGGACATGTCCCAATTGCCAAACTCTTACTAAAACACGGTGCAAAATGCAATACATGTTCCAAAGAATTTAAGGAATCTGCATTAATATTGGCTAGCTACAAAGGACACTTAGAGATGGTTCAACTTTTACTGGGAGCTGACGTAAGTCAAGTATAATCGTTCTATCAGTCAGGTTTTTGTTTTCTCACAGACAATATGTATATATGGTGTGATTAAAATCTGTTGTATTTAAATTATATATTGATATTTTAGAGTGTATCACTTATAATATGAAGTGAATAGTCAGACATACATTCACACATTTGACACACACATACATGTACACATATATAGAGTAATCCATTTTAAATAAAGCATTGAAATCTTTAGAAAACCAAGGGTTCTATTAAAGAATGCTTCAAATAATATTTGTACAATTTCAGGAGGGATGAGGGAAGTGATTTTACTAAAATTGTGTGAAGGTTAAATTTAATTCTTTTAATGGAATTATATTGTTTTTTAAATATAAATCAATTCTTCTAGTTATTCTGCACATACATAAAAGTATTTGATTATTTCTAATAATTTTATAAGCAGAAGAATCAATTTATGATAAAAGAACCATATGATTCCATTAAAAAAATAAAATGTAATCTTCATATGTGATCTTAGCAAGATCACATATGATTACTTAGAGTTAAATGAGTAGCATTATTAGATGTCTCTCTTGAAACTATATAAATTTTGTTTAAAACATTTTTCAATGGAATCTTTGATTTTTGAAAGATCTGAATGCGTCACTTAAAATTGGTCTCTCTCTATACACATAAAGGAAAGAGAAAATGAGATAAATATTTTATTCAATATATTTTTATGAATGTACACCATATATATACCATACATATACCAATACATTTTTATGAATATATATGAATTTTTACACACGAATTTTATTAAAGATATCTTTAATTGTTACAGAAACATGAAACCAATGACATGCATTTAGCACTTATAACAGCATCGATAAATGGCCACTTAGAAGTAGCGCGCTTACTTTTGGATAAAGGTGCCCAAGCAAATATGTTGATGAATACCTGCGAATCTCCGTTATTGTTAGCAGCTTCGGAAGGTCATATCAAACTTGTGAAACTTCTGCTTGATCGAGGAGCAAAAACCACAGAAATTAACAGTGAGGGTTATAATCCGCTGATGCAAGCAGCGCGCGCGGGTCATAAGGAAACAGTCGCGTTGCTCTTAAGTCGAAGTAAGTCATGTTATTCTCGAATCGTTGCATAAACGCACAAATTTTATTCATAAACTTTCTTTTTACATAGATGCATTCATTGACGAACAAAATAAAGAAACTGGAGAAACAGCACTTACGTTGGCTTGCTATGGCGGTTTCCTCACAGTTGTTGATTGTTTAATCAAAGCAGACGCTGATATCAATTCGGGACGACTTACTGCTCTAATGACTGCAGCTCGAGAAGGACACTTCCATATTGTTCGACATTTACTGAATTATAATGCGGATACTAATATTGAAACATTTCCGGGAAAGACAGCATTAATGTATGCTTGTGAAAATGGTCATACTGACATTGCTAAACTTTTGCTTCAGTTTAATGCCAAACTGGTATGTTAAAACATTTTGACAGTTGCAACCTTCGCAAAACACTAATGATATAAAATATTATCAAAATGAGATATAACTATGAGAAAAAAATCAATTTGATTCACTCCATACTTTGCTTAACTTTTGCCTATTACTAAGTGCGACTTATCAATTTATTACTTTCTGTAATAGGAACATACGTCAGTGAGAGGTGCGACTCCTCTGATGTACGCTTGTGTCGCTGGTCATTTTGATACAGTTCAGTTTCTTATATCGGAAGGAGCCAATATTAATCGTCAAACAACAGATAACCAAACTCCTCTTACATTAGCATCTTTAGCTGGTCATATTGCTATAGTCGCACTGCTTCTTGATTACGGTGCTAACCCGGATCACAAATTTGAAGTAAGCTTGAATGTTGATAATAATAGCTGTTACGAAAGTACTATTTGAATTCAAATCTTCCTTTTTATAATTGTTTATTCTCAATATCATTACATATTTTTTTATACATTTAAGATATATAGAAATGAAAATTATTGATATATGATAATGTTATTTATAACATGCATTTTATGTGTGTGTGTGTGTGTGTGTGTGTGTGTATATAACATTTTACAATTTCTTTACATATTATCAGTATATCATTATCAGTATTATAACAGTATTTTCTTAAAAGATACTATATATAAAAAATTTGTATTATATGTGAACCCACACACAGTGATCAGAAAGTGTTCGAACATATATTCAAAAAGTACCACATCTAATATTTCGAAAACAACGTATTTCAGAAAAAATATTCTTTACGAGAATTTTAAAGTTTTAAAAGATCTCTATTTGATAGTATCATTCTAGTGCCTTCCTTGCTTTCTTAAGAGAAAAGTTCGAAAAGTTGAAAAATCTTTTAAGTAAAAGGGGGAATTATGAGAGAGAAAGAGAGAGAGAGGAATCTTTTTAGAAAGAGTACAAAAAAATAAACTTCTGTCTAAGACAAAAGTCTAAGACAAAGTAAATATTTTTTTTTTACAAATATTTTTCGAGATATCCAAGATAGAATACATCGTAAACGATATTTTTTTTAATGTTTCCTATAAAAGTTGTAAAGCTTTGAAAGATCAACATATAAACATACAACGAAATATATATATATATATATATATATATATATATATATATATATATATATAATGTATTGAACCAATTATAGGATAACTTTAATACAATAATGGCAACAATAACATGTAATCAGCCATGCACCATGGAAATCTTATTAGACAAATTTCGAATTTTCCGAACGAGTAATTATAAGTATGGCATAGATAATGAACTTATATTTAAAAATTACTTCTTCAATTGGAAATACAAGATGAATAAGACTCATCAACGGACTTATAAATGGAAAAAGCAAACAGAGACGAATGTTTTAAAAATGATGGATGAACAAAGTGATAAAAACGGCTTTTACTGATAAAGAACTTTATGATTTCTTTTGTCAAATGAAAAGTAAATACACCATTTCTAACTAGAAATGAACTAAAACTTACAGGTGTTCTAGAAATTACTAAGAGATATTGTAATATTGCTAAGTATTTAAGTAATACTTAAGAAGCTGAGAGGTAAGAAGTTCATATAAAATCTCTAAGAAAGTTTGTAGAAAATTCTAGGAGGCTCAAGTTCTTACATATATAGGATGTTCCAAACTCTCCTTCGTATATTTTGTGGAAACGTAGAACGAGTTGAGATGAACGTAAAAGTCCTATATCGTTTTGTGATATTCGCAATAATGAAATGTCGCTTCCGAATGGCATCTCTGAGCGTTATCTGGGGAGAGGAGAGTATCGTGAGCGTGGAGCATCAAGTAGCTCAGTGATTTAGAGCAGTCGCCTGGCAAGTGAAAGACCTGGATTCGAGTCCCAACCTAGCAAACTGCGCTTTCGATATTTTTCTCTCTCCGGAACGAAAAGATACGTAGGTCCCGAACGCACGGCGTCCCGTCACCACCTAATACACCTTTTTCCTTCTTTCGCAATTAATTTCTCTGTTATCATTGCGAATATCGTAAAACGGTACGGGACTTTTATGGGTTCATATCAACCCGTTCCACATTCCCACAAAATATGCGGAGAAGAGTCTGAGATATCCTGTATATAGTGCAGGCCTACTTAAAATTTCTAATGTATATCCATGATATACATACAATACAAGTGATAAAAATGTCAACGATAAATGAATATCTCATGAACAATGTATTTTTGAAAACATATTTCTTACAAATGGTAAAGTTTCAAGAAGTTTATTTGATGGTGTTAGCATGCAAATTTCAAAAAGGTATTGTTTACGAGATATTCAATCATCCTGAAACATTTTCTACTTTGTGTGTATATATATATATATATATATATATATATATATATATATATATATTTTTTTTAATTAAGCAGCATATATATATATATAAAGAGAGAGAAAGACAAAGACTAAAAAAAGAAATATTTTCCAGTTATATCTAAAATAGAAGGATTGTAGGAACAATAACAACCACAATGAAATCTCAACATTTAATCATATATTACAGCAATTTAGAGACTTCATTGAACTATACATAATTTATATTTACAAAAATATGTGTAAAATGAAACAGATTATATTTTAATGTTTTGTACAGCATCTTAATTAAAATTGCCGCGAAAGAGGTATTCTCAAAATTTTTATATAACCTCTCTTAGTTTTTTTTTTTTATAAAAATTTCGAAGTTTTTTCGGAAGTATCAATTTTTTTATATAAAAAGAATTTTTATATGAAAAGTTTTTTTTATTCTACAATTTCCGAAAAAAAAAATTTTATGAAATTTGAACAAACTTAAAACATAGTTTTTCCAAAATCTATAAATAATCTAAAAATATAAAAAATATACTCAGTACAAGATCTCCAGAAGATGTCCTTCTGATGTTTTCAGGATATAGGGATGTTCTAAAAATCTTTTTAGGTTATCCTGTGGAGATGTGTGCTGTTTGGATATATTTTTTAAGATTTTTAAAAATGAGACATTTTTTTATCAAGGTATTAATTTTCATTTTTCATTACTGAGAGAGGAAGAAAATGTGTTCTGTATCGTATCCATTTAATATAACATTTGACTAGTATTATTTCTAGTATTAGCATAAAAATATTTTGATTTTATATTACATTTTATGTATGAAATTAATAATAATAACTGTTATTATAAGACATCTTAAAAATATATATATTAGATTTGACAATTTGGGTCACTAATAACCCAGATACCATGAAATATATTAAAAAACTTATGTCAAAAAGATTGTATCCAACTTATGATTAAATTTATATTATTTATAATAATTATAATCTATCTATGTATCTTGTTATATAATTTCCTATATACAAACGTGCATGTATGTGTGTGTGCGTGCATGCGCGCGCATATATATAAAAAAATGTATACCAAAATGTGAACCAAAGTAAACAAAATATATAATAAAATTTATACATATTGTCATATTTGACGACATAAATGACGACATATATTAGTATAAACAAAAAATTACATATACATTGGTATGTAATTTTTATTTTCTTTATACGCAAATTAGCATGGAATCAATAAAAAAATTTGGTGCAGCTTTTTAATCCAATTTGACTTTATTACATTTAATGGAAAAAAATGATTTATTAACCAAATCTCTATCGTCGTCTTTGAGGTTTTATCAACAGCATTCATATCCCTCTAGAGTTTTGTAAGATCCCATATTCCTAAGAGTTTTATTTTACAGCACTTATATACCTCTACTGTAAAAGGTGATTGATCCACCGTCGAAAAAGCCAGAAAATCGAGCTAAATTTTCCGCCTAAACTTATAGTGTTGAAAAGTAACTCATAACTAAAATATATTTTATCTTAGAAGACAAGAATATCAAAGTAGAAACCTTCTAAATAAATAAATTTCCTGAATTTTAAACTCTTTAAGAATAGCTTATAAAAACTATAAAAGAGATTAGAGGAAATATATCAGGTAGAGTCATGGACATAAGAATACATGGACGGAGCGAATTGTCGCGGGGGTAAAGCCCAAGGGGTGAGGGGAATGATTGTATGTATCGTAATGGAGTTGACATACCATGATGGCGACGGTCGCTGTTTTTATATATAGACAATAGATACAAAACTCCGACACCAACATAGTCGCGACGATGTAATCTTCTTACCCCTTGGGCTTTACAGCCCCTCGTCTATAATCGCACCTTTCGCTTCGTCCATGTATTCTTACGTCCATGGGCAGAGTAGATTGAGCTGGAAATTAAACTCTAAACCTTTCCAACTACTGTTATATTGCAACAATAACTAATTAAATATAAATATGCAATAAAAATGTTTCTTAATATTTTTTAAATATAGACTGAGGGAAAGAGAGTGAAAAAAAAGATTTTGTTGCAATATTTTATGAAGTAATTGTGAGAAAATTTAGTATCAACAAGTTAAATTCACAATCGTGCTCAATCAACTAAATGTCATTTTATAGGCGTATGCTTTCATTTTGATATATTCCACAAGAATTTTGGGAATGTTTTCTCGTTTCTGATGTTCTGATGACATTAAACAAAACGACCGCGGCGAGAGGAGACAACCCAAGCATTAGGACCAATGTCGAATCTATAACGGCTAATATAGAATCTACAGCGGCCCACCGTAATATGTGCTGGGCTGCGTTCGGAAACGTCACCCAAGTGTACCCGTTGTGGAGTGAGCGAGATACAAAAGTGAAGTAAAAAGAGAGGGAGAGTACTCGAGTGACGTTTCCGAACGCAACCCTGCTAGAGAAGAGCTTTAAAATATAAATAAAATATGAATTCAATTTGCACGGAAAATTTCCTAAAAAAATCTGAACATGATGAAAATCTAGATCTGTAAAAAATAGTTTTTTTCATATAAAATTTCAAATATTCCAACCGTTTTCATATTATCCTTTCTCTCGAGCTTTTATTGCGATAACTGTTATTAACGCCTTATATTATCGCGAAACAGCAATTAATTATTGGATGATTATTTCGAGTGTTACAATAACCAATTATTTTAAGCGAGACGTATTTTGAAGAAACACGATTAATTTTTCTCGCGTGAGAAAGACTGGCGAAACTGCACGAGACTCTCGAGAGGAATTCGTAGCAAGTAGCACAATTGAAGTTACGCGCCACCGTGAACCGTTGCGAGACGTTTAATCACACGGCAGGCACGGAGGCCGAGGAGCAGCCGCGAGTCGAAGCATCCGGGACTATCGCAGTCGGCCATAGTGGAAATGGCGGGTGTTAGCTTACGTGAATGACGGCGACTGTGCTCTCGAGAGCAACTTCTTGCCGAAACGTTGCGAGCGAATGAGTGTACTGTGTGTGTTTCGCGGCACGGGCATACCAGTAACGGAGTAACTGTGTGTCATATGATTTATCTGGAGGGTAAAGATGCAGAATGTAGCACAAGGAACGACCTCGGATAGCCAGAAGCACGAAAAGCAGCCAGCAGTAGCGGCAACGGCAGCAACGAGCGTTCCCCACGATATTGGAAAGACGTCGTCGACTCCCCAGTCTTCGAATTCGAGCCCCACGAAGTCGGAGACCGAAACCTTCTCAGAGCTGCAACCGCGCTTTATGACAGACTCGTCGGAAAGCGAGGAAGACAGCGTTTCCGAGGTAAACGCCATAAGCGCCAGGTCCGTTAACGCGACGTGATAAGATATCCGCGAGCATGGTGTGTAGAAGGGAGAATGTGAGGGCGAGAGAGAAAGAAAGAAAAAGAAACGAGCGAGTGAGAAAGAGAGAAAGATCAAGAAAAAGCGAGAGAGAGAGAGAATACGCGTGTATGTGTGTGTCATATGTGCGCAAGAGCAAGAGAGAGAGAGAGAGAAAGGGGCAAAAAGAGGGAGGGGGATATTTGTGTCTATATCTGTGTCTCATACACGCGTGTGTATGTGTGCGAGCGTGGCGTCGGGTAAGTGTCGTTCTTGTGAATCGAGCCGAGTATTACGAATATGCTTCTGCGAATTTCGAGCGAGTGTCAGTCTCTGCCCCTTCTTCCCGTCGACACCACCGCTGTCCTCGTCATCACTGTTGTCATTGTGTTGCCATCGTCATTGTCATCATCAACGACATCGACACTCGATTCACCTAATTCTCATCTCTATCATCGTCGTCGTCATCGTCGTCGTCATCATCGTCGTCGTTATTTGCGAACGACGCACGAGTTTTAGAAACGCTCTCAATGAGTCCCCCCCGTTCTTGAATCGGCGATGTCAAACTTGCGGGAGCTCTGTCCCCCGCGTCTCTCTCTCGTTGCGCTTAGCCGTTTCTTGCGGTGATTTTCCCGCAGCGAGATTCCTGCTAACGCGTTTTCGCTAACGCAACCGTCGTTGCATCGACGATATTAACGATATTATACGCGAGCACGCGCTCATTACGCGAGGTCGATCATAACGATCTACGTGCGAACGCGTGTGAATACATGGCCACGCACGAGCATGCACACGCACACCCGTATACGCCACATGCATGCGCGGATACCGTGCGCGCGCGTGCGTGTGTGTACATATATACATATATATATATATATATATATAATGCGTGCATATGATGTATATACGGTGTGCACGGGTATATAGAAGAGGACATTCGTCCGACGGAGAAAGCCGTGACGATTTTTCTATGTTATCGTTGTCATCGCGTTGTGAAATTGATACGGTTATGTGGAATGATAAAAAACGGTTAAAGCGTCCTCGAAATATTAGAACGAAGTTTCGTGAGCCATCACATTCATCAAAGTACTTGAGTGCTAATACACGAGACGTCATTGATACTGTCCGGTTTAGTTATTTTCGGGTCGAATGCGTTTTATATGAATGTATACATGCGTCGTAATTCGGATCTGTGTCTGACAGTTTGGTGCTAATAAACGTTTGCAAGGGAAAATGCGCACGCGTATGTGTGTGTGTGTGTGTATGCGCGCGCGCACATGTAAAGTTAAATACTTTAGTTATACAAATAACGGGTCACATATCGAATTGATCATTAGAAAAATGAAGAAGTTTCCGAGCCGGAAAGTCTAACGCCCGTTTCTATATCAAGTCGATTAAGCCTTAATCTGGGGGTCGATTGTGTATCTCGAAACGAAGTGAAAATTACAAAAGTGAGCAAATTTACTAGGCATTGACCAATGAAGTTATAAATATTCTAGTAAATTTGCTCATTTTTGTCATTTTCACTCCGTTTTGAGATACACAATCGACCCTCTGAGTTTAATTCAGGTCTTTGAGTAGAGTTTAAACTCAGATTAAAGTCAACGAATTAAAAAAAAGTCATTGATGTCTCTCAAATAAATTTTTATAATTATCACGACGTGAGGTAATGAGAACTTTACGATTTTTTAAATTATATTTATGATGCAAATATACTGTATTGAAGTAATCATTAAATTCAAATCATACAAGAATGTGTTCTTTTTTCACATTATTGCAGCAACCGAAAATGCAGATTTACTGAAAATAATTCTCAGATTTTCAGTTACATTCTTTTTCATATTTTTTATACTACTTTTGTACATATTTTTGGAGCAACTATCGATAATACTTTTCGCATTTCTATTTTGTTATTCTAAGTACCATGAATCAGTTATAAGAGATGCAACTTTTACAGATCGACTAGTAAAGTTGCTGTAAAATTTCCCTATATCTATCTCTATCTGCCAAAGATAAACAGGTGTACGTAAATTTGTCAATAATTTTACTAGTCGATTTTAGACGATTACATACTCATAGAATCGAAAATACGAAAAGAATTTGATCGGAATTTGCTCAAAACAGTATATTATGCAAAATGTAACATAAAAATATGTAATGTAATAAAAAAATATGTAATTTTTAGTAAACTTATAGCTGCATTAGTGTGAAAACAAAACCATACATCATTGTGTGATGTAAATTTAATGATTAAGTCGGTACAGTATATCTAAATGTAATTTAAAAAATTGTACAGTTTCTATCATCGTCTTACGTCGTGACAATCGCGAAAGTTTATCTGGCTGGGCTTCTACGCGCAAAAAGACAGGTGGACGTACATTGTACCGAAAAAGGTGTTGAAACGCGCAGAGAGATGCTTTGGCACATGCATGAAATGACAGGACACATTCTTGCGAGACATTTTTCACGTAGGAAGCAATTATATAAATGTTATATTAATAGATTCGCTCCGATGAAAAACGCTACGAAACACCGTTGCGTCGATAGTGCAGGGTTCATCGTCAATATTCTCCCGGGTTACACGCAGAAACCATTTTTGTTGGTACAAATAATCGCGAATAGTATAACCCTGGTTACAATGTTAAGGCATGTATACATGATGTCTGGCGAACTTGATCATAAAACAAAAGAAAATGATAGGCAGTCGATAACTCGAAGTTAGTTAATTCAGACCGACTTTGACTACGATTTGAGGTCTGATTTCATCGGTGCTAACTCCACTTTTTTCGTCTATGCACACATTGAAGACAGGACTGTAATACGGAGAGAGGTATCGAGTCGCCGATCTAGATTAATTCATTTCAGACGCGCTCACGATGCCAAAGTCCGGCAGTGTTCGCGTCGATTAACGCTAACCCTGTTCAACCTCGTTCACCTTCTCTGTCTGCATCGTACGTAGGATTTATAACCTCAAAAGGAGCAGTTAGTTCTTAACCTGGATTTATTTAATTCAGATTTGCCGTTCTCTAATGTGAAGTTGTGACTAAATATCCGGTCGTGTCGATTAACCTTGATGAGGATTAACCCCAAGTCGTCTTGAATTTTCTTGTCCATTCATATCTACGTCAGGAAAAGTAACCTATAAAGAAAACGTCGAATTGTTGAACCAGACGAAATTAAAATATACCATTCGAGTACAATCGAGATTAAAGTCTCTGCTCCTTTTTATTTTTTTTTTTTTGTCGTCTTCAATACGTATATACGAAAAATCTGTCTTTTAATGAGTTCTAACTCGACAGAAAGCGCTCTAATCGCCATTCAGACATAATTCAGCTAAAATTTTTGTAACTATGACCGTGCTTAATTTTGTACGTCTATCTGTATTGTAGGATTACGATCCGAGAGAAGTCGCCCCAGGACAATTTAACCTCGACGCGTCCTCGGGACCGAGGACTTAACTCGATTTTTCCTGCCTATCTACATTATAGATAAGTAAGAGGCGTCCAATTGCCGGCTCGGGATAAATTAATTGAAATGCAATCGGGACCAAGACCTTAACGGGTTTACTTCGTTCGTCCACTTTGTGTACGGGATTGCAATTTAGAAATGCGCGAAATCACATTGTATCGGAACAATCTAACTCTCAGCTAAGATTGAAATTTGATCCGGATCGATTGTCAAGTCGATTTTACCGACCGCGTATCGACTTGGCAATCGATTCAACTGTCAACGCAGTTTCAACACTTGTTTGCAGAACGTTTTTCTTTCGCGACACACATCGTGTAATGGCGTTGGGACAAAATTCTTAGAGAAGCCTGGAGCCAAATATTGAAGTTGAAGTTGAAATTTCGCGACACACTTCGGAGCGCGAACTTTCCAATGGGAAAATCCGTTTTTCAACAATTCCCAAAAAAGTAATCTTCTCATTGGACGTCTAAAAATTGGACGTATCGAAAAAAACACGTTTCAAATGCATAACGATATAAAGTACACTCGTTGCCGCACCTTACTCTTCTCTTTCATTGCTCACTTCATGAAATAACGAAGGCGAGAGAGAGAATTCTCTCTCTTCAGCGTTTCTTATTGCTTCGATCGAAACGGGAGCGATTCAAACTCGCTCTAGACGAAAACACGCATTAATTGATGTTAACAAAATCGGTCTAGAGATTTCATAATTAGGCAAAGGCGTCTACCTTTCCCTTTACACCCTTCGTCGTGACTCGTATCCGTACAATCTCTCTCCCTCCTCTCTCTTTCTCCCTCCCTTCTCTTTCTCTCTCTTTCTCTCTTAGAAGTGTCTTCGCTACATACCTCGCTAGATACCGGCTAGGTACAACACGTAGATGGCAACTCTCGCGTAATCTTAGCACAAAAGAATGAAGGGATAAAAAGGTGAGGAAAGTCAAGTCGAAAGGCAGAAAAGGAACAGGGGAATCCGCGCGTTGGGGAAAAGTTATATAATCGGTATGTGTATATATGCGTTAATAGCTGTCTACCGTGGAAACGACGTCGCCGACATCACTAGCATACTCGCGCCTCACTCTCTCTCTCTCTCTCTCTCTCTCTCCGCATCTATCCGCACGTCTATCTCTATTGCGAATCGCGCGAGTAATTTCGTCCTTCCTCTGTCCCACCCACCGCTGTCCTTACATCTTCGCCCTTCTCCTCCCGCCGGGGCACTTTCCTCCCAAGTCCCCGGTTGCCTTCTTCCACCACAGTGTGAGGTGGTGTTCATGCGGCGATGGTCTTACCTACGTTCCTAGCGTGTTCACGAGAGCAGCGTGACCCGCTGCCACGGCGGCGGCGCTGCTGTTGTCGTCGCTGTCGAGGTTCACTATTCGAATGCTCCTCGTTCCCATCCTTATTCGCGTCATCGCATATCTCGTAAGAGCAAGAAAGAATGAAATCGAACGAGAGAAGAGAAAGAAAGAAAGAAAGAACGAACGAACGAACGAACGAAAGAAAGAATGAACAAACGAACGAACGTATATACGTATATGTAGACATATGACGTGTGAGTGCGCGCGCGTAAGTACACAAGTACGGCTATCTTTCTTTCTCGCTCCCTCTTTCTCTCCCTCTCCCTCCCTCTCCCTCGTGCATCGCTGGTTGAAGCACTTCGCTCGCTGAGAGTCGGTATATACGGTATATACACCGTGTGAGTACGCATGTATACAAGCACAACGAAGTGCACAAGTGTAAGTGCACACAAAGTTCGGATACGCATATCATATGTAACACATCGGTGCGTGTGTGTGTGTGTGTGTGTCATATACATACGCGTTCGTTACACGGTACGTGCATCGTGCACACGTGCGTGTACACACGGCTGTACGTGCACATACGTGTATATGTAGCGCGATGCGCGAGCACGCCTCTACGAGAGCGTGTCTGCCTCGCGTTCGTTCGCATTGCCGTCGGTGCGCCATCCAGCGGGCTTCCCGCACGTCTTTCTCGTTCTCGTCGCTCGCTCGCGAGTTCGCTGGCTGCTTCTCGCAGCCGATTTCCGAGCCAACGCGTCACCATGTGATCCGCCAGTTCTGGCAAGCCAGAAGCAGCACGAACGGAGTCTCGCCCGCACGGCCGTTTGTACGCTGTCGTCGTGGCGTTTCGCGTCCCCGTGTGCGCCCGCCTGCTGCTGCTCGATGTGTGCGTGGAAACGATCGCGAAGAACAGAGCCACCATATTATTCTATGTCCTACCAACGGCGCTTTTACGGCCTCGTCGCTTCTCCGTGAGACTCGCGTGTTCAGTTTCTCAGTGCTACTTATGCATCGGACATAGTCGTGATCAGCGACGGCAGGGAAGGAGAAGGAGGTGAAGGGTGAACCTCGGGCGAATCTCAGCGTTGTATCTTCGTGTCGTCATCACCGTGTCGTTGTCGTTCTCGCTCTTCGTCGTCGTCGTCGTCGTCGTCGTCGTCGTCGTCGTCGTCGTCGTCTGTCTCGGGAGCAACGGACGAGAGCGCATTCCCGACGCGAGTGTACGCCTTCACACACTCGGTGACTCGAATACGACAGGGCGACGCGCAATGTGTAGTTACGCGAGTACGCGGAGTTCACCGGTCGCGTGGTAAGTGTCAGTGCCGTCGTTTGGAACGTCGTCGTTGCTTATTGTTCTGCCACGCGACCTAAACGTGATTCGTGTCGGAAAATAAAAATACGCGACTATGCTTTCACCCGCGTTCCCGATTTGCGTTGATTGTCTCACGTTCGCGATCGCCCTCTCCGGACTCGCGATCGCGCACCGATCATTCCTCTGCGTGGAGCATAGGTGCATGCAGGACTTTCCGGATGTAACGCGTTGATACGTACATACGTTAGTACGCGCGAGAGAAAGAGAGAGAGAGAGAGAGAGAGAAAGAGCGAGCGTGGCATCTCTTCTCTCTCTTCAATAGTAGCTTCTGATAGTTTCACATACACGAGCAACAATTCGATTTTCGACATCTCGCTCGGTGACGCGCGCCTTCGTGATTTATACACATCTCTTTGTTCGTCGAAGTCGATCAACGATGCCGCCGCCACCACCGCCGTCGTCACCGCCGTCACCGCCGTCGCCGCCGACGTTCCCGGTAACTCGACTCTGTGCGAAAATAACCTCAATTTCTCGCTCGGTGCTTCTTATATCACGGATACGCCACACGACGAGGAACTTATTAGTGCTTTTTCACTGGGATTTTGTACCGATAGGTTTCGTCGGCGAGTCGTTTTGTGTAGATATCGCTGGTCGTCTGTGCTCGTTCAAGAAGTGACTCAGCGATACATAGTTTTCAGTCGCGTTGGAAGTCTCTGATAAAGGATATGAGTTCTGTTCGCGGAACAGCTCGTGTGTCAGTTTATCACTAGACACACTAAAAGACCGACGTGACCATATTATTATCTAGGCTGTGTTTTCTAATTATTTTGTGTGTATGCTCGACATACAATGCAAATTTATTGTATGTATAAAGGATACAGAGGTTCTGCAAGAGTCATCAATGTCGTGACATTGTTATCTAAGCTGTATTTTCTAGTTATTTTGTGTGTATGTTACACAGTCAGAACCAATGTATCCACAAAAGTAAAACGAAGATTCTGCAAGAAGAACATTAATGGCTGCATTCAACTGAGAAAGCTGCTTTGCAACTGTTGCAAAATTCATGGAATTCTCATTGGTGGTGTTCTTAATCTTGGCTGTATCTAAGAACATACACCAATTGGATTCACAAATATTGTACTAAGAAAAAATACTTGAGAATTTACTTGTTGATATAAAGCTTATTTCTGTAAAATAAAATTGATCTCTGTAAATGAACTTTATATTCCACAAGTTAATTTTGAAGTATCTTCTTAATTACAACAGTTGCAAAGCAGCTTCCTTCTGCTGAACACAGTCAATATTGTAACAAAGCGCTATTGACAGCTTATCGAATTCTAAGTATTTCACACATACATATGTTTCATCTGAATGCTTATAATATAAGAATCACACAGTGAATCAGTAAACAGAGAGCACAGTCAACCAATTTAATTGTAACACATCGTCTCTTGCATCTCTTGTGTGTTCAGTCTTATTTACAAATACTTTGTGTGATTGTAGGTGGAGTGTTTTGCAATTGATCAAGTTGAGATAGACGAAGATCATCCAGAAACTTCAAAATTTCTGTTGACTCCTGAAGACCCTGAACGTTCTGTGGATCCTGAGACTCAAGCGCGTCTCGAGGCCCTCCTCGAGGCAGCTGGTATCGGAAAATTGTCGTCGGGTGATGGGAAGCACTTAGCCGACCACGAAGTGCTTCGACGTTTAACATCTAGTGTTTCTTGTGCATTGGATGAAGCGGCAGCAGCATTAACACGTATGCGTAGTGATAATCCACGCACACCTAACGAAAAGCGCACTCTTATAGAGGCGTGTACCGACGGCGACGTTGGTACCGTTAGAAAATTGTTAACAGAAGGACGGAGTGTTCACGAAACTACCGAAGAGGGAGAGAGCTTGCTCTCCTTGGCTTGCTCAGCGGGTTACTACGAACTTGCTCAGGTTTGAGTCAAATGCATATTTACGTTGTTCTTTCTCTATGTGTCAGCTCGCACATAGGTACGATCTGTGTGAATCCTGATAATAATTATGATAATCATTTGCGAGAGATATCTTGCCAAAGTGCATGACGTTACTGTTACACGTGTGGATAAGTCATTCCCGGTACACACGTCTAACATGCAATGTTTTGTGGCAATGTGGGTGATAGAAATGTAGCTTTATCCTGTGTGTGGATTGTGAATTTATTGAGCTGTAAATTTATACTGTAATATTGCTATAAGTTAAATTATAAGTTTTAAGTTTATGTAAATATCCCATATACAATGGAAAAGAAACCTTTGTGTCACATTTTGTTGTGCAAACTGTAATATATTTTGCTTGGTAGGTACATAGTATTATTATGTTTGACATATTTGTGTGCGAGCAGTTGGTTGCGTTGCATTGATAACAATTCATTTTGAAGGACTGTAATGATAAATTGATAGCAGTTCTCATTGTCTGTGACAGGAAGGAAAAAAATTCTTTTATATTAAAATTATGTTATTCAATGTCTCTAAAAAAATTTTTATTGGTTGTCTCATAATTGACTTAAAGTTACAGCATATAATATAATAATATAGATGTCTTTCCAAATTGATTTTATATCTGTAGTACAAAATTCTATTATCTCTGTATTAACATATGTATATAATGTAAACTATGTAAATTTAATATTACACAATATTATATTACTTGAATATATTACAGGAATCAGACAGAGCTGATTAAAATTATGTTGTTTAAAATTATAGTAAATGTAAAGAAGTAGATTTAAATTTTTTGGAGAATCTTAATATTTATAATATTTATCTACTTCTATAGTTACTTCTGTGTAATTGCAGGATGTAATTTATTGTAAATTAACCAAAGTTAAATTAGCTAAATTCGATATTTAATTGCTTACATAAATTATGAGAAACGTCCACTATCTGCTGAAAAATAAAAGTTTTACTTTTTAATTTATATCAAAACTCTTGATCTGTCCTTCATATCTGCTCTTTGTCCACTATCTTTTTTTTTTGTTTCTTTTTCTATCAGCATCAAGTGGGTATTTTATCTCAAATATAGACAAGAAAACTCAGTGCAACTATAAAAAAGCAAACCTATGTTATATTTTTACTTGTTTCTCTTGTTTATCTATCTGTCACATTCCTAAATGACATGAAGTTGGCATTATAGCAATATTATCAGGAAATAAAAAAACTAAATCGAAATTAGTTTTATAGACTAATGAAAACCGTCTATCAACCAATCTTTCTATGAAACAGGTTCTGTTAGCAATGAATGCTAACGTGGAAGACCGAGGTATCAAAGGGGATTGTACCCCTTTGATGGAGGCTGCCAGTGCTGGACATGTGGATATTGTGAGCTTGCTCATTGCTCATGGTGCCGATGTTAACGCTCAGTCGACTTCGGGTAAAATTACATGCTAATTACATATACATATTAATTTTATATAGCACTTTCAACTTAATAGCATATTTCTCAACAAAAAACGTGTGCGTGAATTTTCGAGATGACGTAACATCATTATCTGAAAACAAAGCAGTTGTATTGTATAATCGTAGGAAATACACCTCTTATGTATGGATGTGCTGGTGGACATGAGGAAGTTGTACGTGTCCTATTGGAAGCAGGGGCCAATGTTGAAGATCACAACGAGAACGGCCATACACCTTTGATGGAGGCAGCGAGTGCTGGGCACGTTCCAGTCGCTAAAATCTTGCTGGAACATGGTGCTGGTATCAATACTCATTCCAATGAATTTAAAGAATCGGCATTAACATTGGCCTGTTACAAAGGACACTTGGAGATGGTTCGATTTTTATTGGAAGCTGGCGCAGATCAGGTACAGTTACCAACTATCATTTCCTTGCAAAAATAATATATAATTAATATTTTTCCGATCTTATAACATAACTTATAACATGAAGAGAAGAAAGGAGAATAAAGAGGATGAACGTTTTATCTGATATTTCTAGAATTTAATCGATGATATCTTCAATTGTTACAGGAACATAAGACCGATGAGATGCATACAGCACTTATGGAAGCGTCAATGGATGGTCATGTAGAGGTAGCGCGCTTGCTCTTAGACTCAGGTGCCCAAGTAAATATGCCGACCGACAGCTTCGAGTCTCCGTTGACGTTAGCGGCTTGTGGAGGTCATGTGGACCTCGCGATGCTTCTAATTGAACGCGGTGCGAACATTGAAGAAGTTAACGACGAGGGTTACACCCCTTTAATGGAAGCAGCACGCGAGGGCCACGAGGAAATGGTCGCACTACTTTTAAGCCAAGGTACGTTATGTTTATTAGGATTATCGAATTTGTTGTTCATGAATCTTGTATTGCGTAGGTGCAAACATTAATGCCCAAACTGAGGAAACTCAGGAAACGGCGCTCACATTGGCTTGCTGCGGAGGTTTCCTTGAAGTAGCTGATTTTCTAATCAAAGCGGGCGCCGATGTCGAATTGGGAGCATCTACCCCTCTGATGGAAGCTGCCCAGGAAGGACATTTAGATCTTGTTCGATATTTATTAGAGTCGACGTCAGATGTTCACGCTCAGACGCAAACGGGAGATACAGCATTGACATATGCTTGTGAAAATGGTCATACCGATGTTGCTGATCTTTTGCTTCAATATGGAGCCGATTTGGTATGTTATGTCTTTAACAACTGCAAAGTTTTACTCTTTACTTTAGTCAACTTCTTTCAAATATATGAATTATCTATATCAGTTTATCACTCTCTATTATATAGGAACACGAATCAGAGGGGGGCAGAACTCCGCTCATGAAAGCTTGTAGGGCTGGTCATCTGTGCACAGTTCAGTTCCTTATTTCGAAACGTGCTGATGTCAATCGACAAACGACAAATAATGACCACACTCCTCTTTCATTGGCGTGTGCTGGTGGTCATATTGCTGTAGTCGAGCTGCTTTTGGCGCAATCAGCTAACCCATTTCATAAATTGAAGGTGAGTTTACATGTTTTCAGTGATAATACTTGAGTACATCATACAATTGTATAGTCAAATAAATGGAGGAGAAATTTATAACTTTTTTTAATACTAATAAAAAATATATATAACACGTTATCTATACATATGTTAATAATGTTTTAATTTTCATTACTTACAATCTTTATCATTTTTACAAATACTACATAGCGAGAAAAGTTGTGCTGATGCATATATTACTAAAAATATTTTGTTTAGGACAATTCTACTATGTTAATTGAAGCAGCAAAGGGTGGCCACACTGCTGTTGTGCAACTCTTGTTGGATTATCCTCATAGCATTATGATGGGCGCGCCACATAATGCTGTAGCTGCTCCCATGTTGTTACAACAACCACCGCAACAACAACAGCAGCAGCAACAACAACAACAACAACAACCACCACCGCAGCAGCCACAGCAGCAACAACCGTCGCAGCATCAACAGCATATAAGCCATCAGCAACACGTACCTCATCCGCAAACATCTGCGCAACCGCAACAACAACATCCGCAACAGCAGCAGCAGCAGCAAACTGCGGAACAACAACAAAATCTTCAACCTAAACACAATACGCAAAAGTCATTATTAAGGAAAAATCGATCTGTGACTATGATGCCCGACATGAGTCTTACCTCAGCGGAAGCGCAACAAGTTCGTTCGCAGCCCGCAGGAGAATCTGTTGCTACTACTAAGGATGATACGAATATCCTCGATAAAGGCAGCGGAGGATTTACGAGTCTATCAGAACCTAATATTAGCCTTAGCCCGACGTCAGCGTCAACGCAAGGAATAAATGTCATCGATAGTCGGAAAAGTAGACAAGAGCAAATTCTTCATAAGCAACAAATACTTGAAGAACTGCAAGTACGTCATCTATGTCATGAGATTATAAGAATTTTTCGTGATGAAGAATATTAACGAGTTAAATAAAAGATACATAAACGTTCAATGTAACGTATTACAATAATCATGTTTGCGTTTTATGCGTTATCATATATACATACACTTTTAATTATATTATACACTTTTTTTTTAAATCATACAATTGTAATTTACCTTTTTTAGAGGGTAGAACGTGAACTGCAAAGTAAGGCCGCAGCACACTTGTTCGCCGGTTCACGAAATTCCATAATAAATCAACCTCAGCAACCGACGCAACAGCAGGATCCTACTGAAGCGGAAGCTTTATTACCTGGAATGCTAAATATTGATTTGCCAGCTCAATCCGCAACATCTCCACATGGTATTTTCTTTACATCATCATTCGTTAAATTAAAAGTTCTTGTTAATCATATTCATATACGATCATATACGTTGAACTGATGATTATTTTGTTCGAAAGGCTTGGTGTGCAGTGCTACTGGTATGTCTGGCACTTCATTAACATACCAAGGAACTAGCGATGCGGCGTTGGTCTGCAGTGCTTACCTCGATGGTAAGATAATGGGGCTGCAACAGTTTCAAAAGACGTTGTCCGTAGCACCGACCGCAGCGGAAACGTTTCCCACGAATACATTTCCCTCTTCGCCACCTCTGACACTCGCCCCGTTACCTACTACGACTGCCGTTTCGTTGGTTACTTCCAACACATCCTCTACAACCACGCCGAGCCCACCGAGTATCTCTACTCCTCCAACTGTCATAGCTGTTTCCCAGCCTATTACCGCGAGCAGCGATGTTAGCCAGAACACTGCTATAAGCGATCGACCGAAAGCTAAGCCAGTGTCTAAGAAGGAAGGAAAAAACGTGCGTAAAGCAGCAAGCGGCATGGCGGTGGCGAAATTGCAGCAGACACAGGCGAGCCTGATGGCCGGGCTTCAGCAGCAATATCAGCAGAAACAACGTCAACACACCTATCAAGTACAACAGGTCCATCAATTGCAGCAACTCAATCAGCAGTTGCAACTCCAGCTAGATCAAGTGCAGGTGGACTTCTACTCCCCTTACTTCGCTTTGTTTCCATATATTTTAACATATGACTTGATATTATTGTTTAAATTCTTGCTAAAGCTCCTGCTTTTCTTTACCGCGGTCGTGTTGATTAATGACATCAAAAATGAGAAAATATACGTTTAATATTCTTGCAAAATACGTTGAAATATAATTATATGTCCACAAAATGATATCTGCAATTGATCTGTAATAGAATTGTGAGAAAAGATAGATTAAATATTATCTTATAATCAATTTTTGATTATTAGAACAAAAGAAAAATATTCAGATTATTTCGTTAATCTGTTCGATCGATTGCGTATTATTTTATCGATATATCATTTTATTTCAACGTATTTTGCAAAAATTTTGAATGTGTATTTTCCTGCTTCTGAAATCATCGATCAAGAGTTCCACGGCAAGCAATCACAAGTCTTAAAGTTATTCTTATTCAGAACTCAGAGAAAATCTTTTAAGCACGAGCTTACTTTAAAATATATGGCAAATATATAACGTAATGTTGTTCGAGTAACATTCGTAAAAAAGAAAAAACATTGAATAAAAAATTATTAAGAGATTTTACAAGCGAATGCATGGGAGAGATGTTAGCATGTATAACATCTATGATCTATTTTCATATAATAACACATAAGATTATTTTTTTTAACGAGGTTGTTTCTTTAATTTAGATACAACAGCAGCAGCAAACGCAACCTCAGCAACCTCAACAACAACAGCCCCAACAACAAACTAACGTAGTCGGTAATAATGCGAGTAGCATATTAATGCCCACTCAGTTGATGTCACATTTACACCCTACACATACTCATCACTTGCACAACCAGGTAAGCATGCCATTGATTGAATTGCTGACACTTACTCACGTTGAAACATTCTCAACAGCAAATACCGCAAGAAAATCTTCCTGAGCAAACCGATCCCGAGTCAGCGCGAAAGTATAGAGAAGGCGGTTGTACATTTTTTACCGGGACACAGAAATCGAAAACCTTCTCCGCTAACGAAAGAGTCCTGAAATTGGAAGACGGCACGGACATACCAATCGATGATGCGTTTGAAATTTTTCGCTCCATCAGTTTCGACGATGCTGTAGATGGTCAATATTTTATCTCAAGTTCTTTTGAATGAAACTAGCGTTTTAAATAATTTTACGTATTTTCTAAATTGTTTTCTGTTTGTGTAGCTACAGAAGATCAAGAGAAGCTTGAATTAAAAAGATTAGAAGTATCTGGTAATAAAGAACAACAACAACAACATCCGCAGCAGCAGCAGCAGCAGCAACAACAACAGCAACAGCAGCAGCATCTGCAAACCACGCAAATAGTTCAACAAAGCGGGAGTCCCCATGCATCTCAAGAATATTTTACTGGTCCTGTGCTGTCAGTACCATCGGTCTCCCTACCAACCCTACCATCGCTACAAGTGACTAGTGCTGGCGTTCAAATAGAAGCAGACATATCAACTGGCTTGCAGTTAACGAGCACACAGTCCTTACAGAATCCGGCGCTGAAGAATCGTCTAAGAGCTTTTGAAGAAGGCTTCCGTCAAGGTAGTATACACTTCCGCGAATGTATGCAGCATATTAGCAGTGATACTTTCCAGCCGCAGTTGCTGCTACAGTCTTCTCCAATAAGTAAGTTTAGTGAGCGCCGTTGGTGCGGGTAGCGCACCGCGCGCGGCTGCGTCTGTACGATAGTGATGTTTTGATCGTTTCCGTTTTCTCGTTATCAGCGTTTCCCACGCAAACATTACCACCTGTGAGCGGAACAACTGGGATAATAGATAGTATACCTCACCAGTCGAGTGGATATGCACAGTCTACCGCCTGCAGTACCAATCAGGTGCAGGTCGCCACTCAGACTCAAGCGCCGGCTACTACAACCGCAGCGAACCAAGTTGTTGCACCGGACAAGAAACAAGTGTACACCGCGCCGACAACTGGCAAGGGCAAGAAAGCCAGATATCCGGTCTTATCCCAGCAGCAGTCTTGCCAGCAACCACAAACTGCCAATGCTCAACAGACTCCCAATTTTCCCGCGCAGAACTATCAGCTGGATCCGGCGGCGGGTAAGAGCTGCGATGCTGTAATTCTATAGACATTTTTGGACACAACAAACCAATAAGCCGATAAATTTTGCCATTCAATTGTCGGTCGATATGTAATAAATATTCTTGCAGTTGGAGGTTACGCGACAAATCAAGTCCCACCTACTCAATTTTCATGTATGGACGTTGACTCGGAAACTGATAGCAATCACGATACTGCGTTAACATTAGCTTGCGCAGGTGGCCACGAAGATTTAGTTGAACTTCTGCTGAGTCGTGGTGCAGATATAGGTGAGTGTGAACCAACATGAACGTAATTACGTTACATGAACGTTTAATTAATACATTCTTATCGCGCGGTATTTGATTGTACTTTATTTTGTACTCTGTTATACAAAGTGGACTATAATCAAAGTTAAAGTTAAAGTTTATATTTAAAAAACTCTTTTGTATGAAGGAAATCAACATCTTGTGTAATTTAGTCTAATATTCCGCGCACACGCGAAAAAATGAGCATGTGACGTTTTATTTAGTCCATTCTGTGTCACCATCATCGATAATAAGTACTTTTTTCCAATATCTACGATTTTGTTACAGAGCATAGGGATAAAAAGGGATTTACACCTCTTATTTTGGCTGCAACGGCTGGTCATCAGAAAGTGGTGGAGATACTATTAAATCACGGGGCGGACATCGAAGCACAATCTGAACGTACGAAGGATACACCGTTGTCACTCGCCTGCAGTGGCGGTAGATATGAAGTGGTTGAGCTTTTGCTCAATCGTGGTGCGAACAAAGAGCATCGAAATGTATCCGATTATACTCCATTGAGTCTCGCGGCATCCGGCGGCTATGTGAATATAATAAAACTCCTACTTAACCATGGTGCCGAAATAAACTCGCGCACCGGTTCCAAGTTGGGCATTTCTCCTTTGATGCTTGCTGCCATGAATGGCCACACCGGTAAACTGCTAATTAAGTTAAAGTTATCTGTTAATCATTCATAATAATTAGCGACAACTATTCATGCGTGCTAGCCAGAAAATTCAGCGTTACATTTTCTGTATTGTGAAAGGTATAATAATCTTTTACAGCGGCAGTCAAATTACTTTTGGATATGGGTAGCGATATTAACGCTCAAATCGAAACAAATCGCAATACAGCATTAACACTCGCGTGTTTCCAAGGAAGACATGAAGTTGTTAGTCTTTTGCTTGATCGAAAAGCCAATGTTGAACATCGAGCGAAGGTGATGCATAGAATTAAATTTCTGCAATACATAAACACATGTTGCTTTTCATTAATCTCTAACATCAAATTAATGTTTGCTTTGTAAAGACTGGTCTTACTCCTTTGATGGAAGCGGCGAGTGGTGGATACGTCGAGGTTGGACGAGTATTGCTTACGAAAGGAGCAGATGTTAATGCGACACCCGTTCCATCATCTCGTGACACCGCTCTCACTATCGCTGCTGATAAAGGTCACTGCCGTTTCGTAGAACTTTTGCTGTCAAGGTAATTTCCTCGCTGTATTATTTGTCAGACACTCGGTAGAAAGTAAATAACGTCAGTTGTATTTTTTAGGGGAACTCAAGTTGAAGTAAAGAACAAGAAGGGAAATAGTCCATTGTGGTTAGCCGCGAATGGTGGACATCTCAACGTTGTAGATTTACTTTACCATGCGGGTGCAGATATCGATTCGCAGGATAATCGCAAGGTATGTACAGGATACAAGCGTATATTTTTGTTTCCCTCTTCGAAAATATCTATGAACAGTTGTAAGTCCGAATCTACAATAGATGTAGTAAGCCTCTAGCTTTATACTTTAAGGCCTATTAATCTCTAACAAAAAGCGTTTTCCGCGTTGCTTGGAACCTGGCTAACTCGCTCAAAGCTTCAAAATTATGACTTCAGTTAGCGATAAAAAAAATTTTGTGAGCGAAAAATAACGCTACAGTTCTGAGTTTAAAGCTTAAGGCTAAAAACTTACCACACTTCTTATAAACCTGAACTAAATGGCTTTTATCTTTATGATATTTAGGTTTCCTGTTTAATGGCTGCATTCCGAAAGGGTCACATCAAAGTGGTAAAGTGGATGGTGAATCACGTAACGCAATTTCCGAGTGACCAAGAAATGACAAGATATGTAGCGACCATCAGCGACAAAGAACTCCTTGAGAAGTGTCAGGAATGTGTAAAAGTAATAAGAGCAGCTAAGGAGACACAAGCCGCTAAAGCAAATAAAAATGCTACAATACTATTAGAGGAACTGGATATGGAGAAAACGAGAGAAGAATCGAAGAAAGCAGCAGCCGCACGAAGACGAGAGAGGAAGAAAAAGAAGAAACTCGAGAAGAAAGAAGAAAAACGTAAATTGCACGAAGAATATAAGAAGAGCGAAACAGCTTACGAAGATAAGGAAGATAATGGAAAGAAGTCTGGCGATGAAGAATGCGATAGAGCGGATGACAGCGAGCACGAAGGCGGCGACGGTTGCGAAAGAATAGAGAGTGTACCGTCGCCTGTGAATAGAAGTCCAGAGGATCCCGATAGGGAAGAGGGTGATAGTGGAATCGATGCAAATAGCCAAGGAAGTTGCAGTAGCAATGACGTAAAGGCTCGAGACAAGAAAAAGGACAAGAAAAAGAAGAAGAGTAATAATCCCAATAATAATGAAAAAGACACATCCCCTCAGCGCTCACCCAAAACTCTTCTTACACAAAACACTGCGTTATCTCAAAATTCAACGACCTCAACGAAATCCCAAAGTACTACTTCCGATAAGTAAGTAGACCTTCTCTCTATTTTTGGGGGGTCCACTTATGTATTGTTTTCCTTTTTTTGTGAGTTTTGTAATAAATAAAATAAAAAAATAAAGAGTTCCAATAAAAAGATATAATGGATGAATAAACATTTCAAAATTACGAGTAATTATTTTTTCAATTAATTATCGAATTTAATTAACGATTAGTATAAGTCTATTATAACATAAAACGTACAGTAATTAAAGATTATTCAATTAACGATTGAACAATGACGATTAGTCAATGTAATTAAAGGTTATTTAATTGATAATTGATATAAGCAAATTTAATCGAAAAAAGTAAAACAATCGACCAATCGATGTCAATCGAAATTGTAATCATAGTTATTTACATTGCTCATGGTAACCAACCGAGCTGAAAATATATGCTTTTATATACATATATATATATATATATATATATATATATATATATATATATATATATATATACATA